GTGTATTGAATATTGTCATTAGCAGACAGGCAGGCAGACACACAGGTGTCAATAAAACAAGACATTGGGTTTTGTCTGTGACAACGACATATCTATATCACAGTTAGAAATTGTGTCAACGCTAAATAATGACATTGCTTTTAAGTATCCAACTGAGAAAGTGACTCGGTAAGAAGAACGTGTGGTGAAATAGACAAATGAAATTATATAAACAGTTATTTACTGTCATAACATATAAAAGCTCGCGCCTGTGAGATATCAACAAAACATTAGAAAAATAGCTCACACCCAAAGCCTTCACCGAGTATTCACCCGACAAGCCCGCTTCCAAGCTGCGCGAACCTATTTACTTGCGCACGTGCTATGAGCGCAGCCCAGCTGTTGAAACCCGTTTCCCTGGAAAAGTCTGGAAGGGAAAATTAGTGAGACGTTTGAACTCCGATTTCGCGCGTTTATTTTCATCTCGTTATTTTTCAACTTTATAAGTTGAATTTGCATTTTGACGATTTGTTTCTGGTATGTCCATACCGAAAGGTATCAGAATCTGCAAAGTTGTGTTTTACGTTGCATGTGACCTTTAAATGCTACAATGGAGTCTTTTGCGTTACTTTATTATACTTTAGGGCTGTGCATACAAACATATTTCAACACATAATCAGTGATTTTACTTTGAATTTTGGAGAATGACAGTGCTCTGAATTTGTTAGCCAGTTCACTATTGATAATCTGGGTATTGTGTTAACACCTATCCTTATTTGGACTAAAGCACTAACTACTCTTGGTGTAGAGATTGAAAAGCCTATTATGACATTGTACAGATATTAAAAAGAAAGTTGCAAATATACCATGTCCAGATTTATTTAAGATATTTAGGGCTCCCTTGCCTCTAGGCAGGAGACCTATTGTAATCGTTAATGTTTTTATTATTATTATTATTTATTATTCCGCCGTATTTTGTACCAGCCCTACAAAGAGCACCAGTGGTCAGAATCGCTTGAGAAAGGTCACCTAGATGCCCATCGAGGTGTAGATATTCCCCATTAAAATCTCAATGCTCTAGGCCCAATAGCAGAGGCAGATAATTCAAAATTATTTTAAAATTAAATTTCAAAAGCAAGTATGTGCAAAACTACAGATCTAATAAGTGCCAAAGTTCTTGAGCAGATGCACCAATCAAAATGCCTCACCTTTGCTTGGACGGGTCACGTTGCTAAAATGAACCGTTTGGCAGTTATATTTGTTTAACTGATGTCCAGTACGATTGTGCCAGGTTGCCGTTCCACTAACCGATCTTACCTTAAGATCAATCTTAGCAAGTTACGCCAATTTTACAATCGTCTTGGCTAAAAGTTACACCCGTTCCACTAACCGATTGTAGCCGGTCCCGATCTTACGATCCGATCAAGCTTAGATCGAGACTCTTCGTGCGAGAGATAGAGGAATGCGGGGCACGAGTTATCTCCTTTGCAAATGATGGAGTATTTTTTACGAACCAACTGAGTGAGTGAGTGAGTTTAGATTTTCGCCGCGCTCCAGCAATGGTCCAGCTATATGGCGGCGGCCTGTAAATAATCGAGACTGGAACAGACAATCCAGTGATCAACAGCATGAGCATCGATCTGCGCAGTTTGGAACCGATGACATGTGTCAACCAAGTCAGCGAGCCTGACCACCCGATCCGTTAAAGTGGCCTCTACGACAAGCATGGGTTATTGAAGTTCAATATTCTAACCCGGGCCTTCATGGGTATTTTTCCAACCAAGTGTAAACGTGGAGAAAAACCTAGAGCAAAATATTAGGTAGTGAGCACCTTAGTTTCAGGTGCAACGGGATGCGCGTGAACGCTGGGTAACAGGCAGGTTTAGATTTATAATAGTCCATAATAAATGCATGGATTTCACTTATAGTGTTCGCTTCATATGCATCTGCCAAGGTGCTAAATAATTCGAGTCTGGACCAGACAGTCAATGATCAACGGCGTGAGCGTGGTCTCGCAAATGGAACCGAAGACGTAGCCAATTAAATGAGCCTGACCACCCGATTTTCGTCCGGTGACTCTTCGGGCGGGCGCTGGGTTAACTGAAGTTCAATATTCTAACCCGGGCTTCATGAATTTATTTTTTCCAACCAAGCGTAAACGTGGAGAAAGAGCACAGGCAAAATATTAGGGTAGTGAGCACCTTAGTTTCAGGTGCAAGTGCGTGAACGCTGGAGTATCAGGCATAAACGATGGAACGCCGGTACATATTTATAGTGCGCCTATTCCACATCCTTGGGCATGCTCAAAGCGCTATGGGGCTCTGCAGATAATTTTTGGTATTTACAGCCGAAGTTATAGAGTATTACTATTGTCATGCTGAGAACAGGTTTTAATCTTGAATCACATGCGGCTTGCCTTTAGAATTGAGGGGCATCCCACCAAATATGCGCAGTGAAACTGGCCGGTTTTGGAATAAACATATCTGTATCTCTTTTGCTTCAGAACATTGTTCACTTCCATTATTCTTAACCATGACGTTGCAATATTGTTGTACAAATGTGTCACACCGACTCGCTCGGTTGTGTTCCATGACGACAGTGGTCAGACTGGCCTGACATTTGTAAGGCTTCAGTGCAGTGTTGTTTACATGATACAGAAATATACAAATTCATTTTATGGGGATTTTAGGGGACGCCTACGGTGAAATGCTCGCTCTTGTTTTTCACATAGAATAGGTAAGCCACCATTTTGGTTTCTCTACGATTGATTTTAGCTATCCTAAGTTGGTCATGGAGCACCTTAGACTTGGAATCTTAACTTTACGATTGACTTAGGTAAGATTGAGTTAGTGGAACGGTACGCCGATCGTAACGTCACGCTAAGATTGGGATTTTAGGGGTTTACGATTGGCATAGGGCTAAAGATCGGTTAGGCGGAAACGCACCTGGGACGATAGACAAAGTCTTGGTGATTCCAGAACACTAATTGTTTTGACCGTAAGACTAAAAAGAACAACTGAGATACTGACTTTTAAAGAGGGGACTGGCTATTCTTCAAGAACTTCTGTAAAAGGAACATGACCCTCTTATTTGGCACCACATTTCAGCGAATTCGCTCCCGTCTCAAAAGCGTCTTCTGCGAACGCGTTTGGGGCAATTTCTAGCCCCTCAAATACAATTCAAACACCCGTAACTCTGAAACCAACCGTCCGGTTTCGACCAAAATGTACCTGTACAAGTGATCTATTAAGGTGTGGATTATAACTAACGATTGCAGTAATCTCCAAAGACAACGGAGGGACAAAGGTAAAATTATATTTTCCAGAGTTTAGTTACTATCTTCATCCGGTTCCTCTCTAGGAGAACACTATGAAGTTAGCCGTATAGCTATCTCAAACGTTAGCTGATCAGTTTCTTGTTCTTTCGGTGCATGTAGAAAGTATCACCGTCACAGGTACATATCTTCTTCATGATTTTTTGTTAGAGACAGATGTTTGAACAAAGGGTTCTTCTATTTTGAGATACATGATACCCAAGCGATATTTTTCTAATCTAAGAAGAAAAGGTTTGGTGATGAATTTATCGAAACTTAAAGACCTTCCAGTACTTCCAGTCGAAGAGCATTCGACTAGCAGTGATATGGATTCATATTAACTAAAAACTACATACTACTTTCATCCGGTTAAGTGACGAACACAATGGGCTATATTATTCATTCCTCCAAGGGCGACACGCGACGCAGCGACAATTGCCATAGTCAAAATATGTCGAGTGTCGCGTTTTGCAATGTTTTAGGCTGTTTTACACATCTTACATGGGGCGACGCGCGACAACGCGACATATTTTGACCTTAAAGAAATTGTCGCTGTATGTCGCCGTGTCATACCCTGGAAGAATAAAGAAAAATATATAGTTGAAATTCAAAACGCGACGCGACATCGCGACAGTGCGACAAATGGGCGAAATGTCGCGTTGTTGCGTATCGTCGATAATCGCGGATTTGTTTAATTTTGCTTATATTTGAGAGGGCGACAACGCGACAATGCGACAACGCACAAATCCGTCTATACATTCCACCCCTGGAAAAACCCATCCACGTCAACACTTGATCCATTTCACGTTCTATATTTGTAACTGTGGTGCGTAGTGTTAGCTACATGTCGTTTTTTATCAGTGTCTTCTTTATATTAAATTTATTAAGTTTAGTTTAAACATATTTCTACTCTCATAACGCGGATGGGGCTTGGTATAATTCTCCACATTGGGACAAGCTCCAGATTTTACTCAGCTGACTGTGTACTGTACAGGACAGTAGGAACGTGAACAAAAGGTAAGTGGAGAGGGAGAACAAAATATATGTAGTTCAAAACAAATATTTTGAGGACAAAAAAGTTCAAAATAATTATTTTGGGGACAAAATAGTTCAAAATAAATATTTTGAAGATAAAATAATTCAAAATAATTCTTTTAGTATAACATACATACATCTGTATATAATGGACGTGTTTATGTCATCGTGTTTACACTGTAGCTGATATATCATGAAAAAATGTGAGAGAAAGAGAGAGAGAGAGAGAGAGAGAGAAAGAGTAGGTGACTTGGGATTAACGCCGCACAGATCTTTGCAAGTCTAAAAGTCTTTGATTAAAAACTTAAAACACAAAAACAGGAATGTTCATATATGAGATATTTTGCATTGAGCTGCAAAACCAGGTTACATTTTAAACTACGATCCTAAATATTTATTTTAAAACTCGCTGGATCATTGTATTTTAGGGCAATATAACTACAACCCTAATGCTCGGGCGGCCCCTAACCTTAAGCTCAGTATTGTACAGTCTCGAAATGATTTGTAAAGGTTTCATTCTCAACGCTCCAATAACAGTTTACAGCGTCATCCAATTCTTTTCATGAATGACAACAAATAACATCTAAAGATAGTAACAGGACGTGCTAACACGATTGCCGTGTATTGTTAACTCACGTACCTGGTTTGAAAAGCCATATCCATCCGATATACTATTTCAGCTTTAAATCTTCCTGGCATGGTGCTGAGAGATATATTAAGCCTAAAGTAAATGGTATGTTGGCGTTATATCTACAGTGTATGATACGTCTCATTATCGACACGAAGACACTAGACCCCCGTTAACTTACTCATGTCAACTGTAACACTTTGTGAAGCTACCTTAGAGGTTAGAATTATATTTTAACACCAAAAAAACGTTATATTTTTCATTTATTTTCTTGAACTAGTTAAACTGACGCACATAAGTAAGTGTACACCTAGTTTTATGAGATATTTTCAAAAACAACGTAAATATACTCATGCCAATAATGGTTGTCACCCCTTCAATGTTTTTATTCGAGGGGGGTTTGGGGGGGAGGGGGTGACAACCATTATTGGCATGAGTATATTTGAAAACTGTGTGGTTGTGACTAATAAGTCAGAAACAATTTATGTTGATTGAGAAGTTCCATTGTAAGACAGAATACACTGATGTTTAATGGTGACTAGATATGAGACAAAAATTAAATGAAGAACTATATCATTTGTGGTGTATTTGTACCTTAAATTGTGGACCTTAAGTTGAGGGGTGGCAACTGTTTCCAACAAACCAGAAGTTACGTTTGAACAAGGCTGGTATGTTTTAGACAAATCCAGTTTTCACGTATTAACCAATGTTTGTAAACATTTGTTTTAACAGCGAAATGGTTTTCAAACTAGTCGCTGTCGGTGACGAAGGGGTTGGGAAGACCTGTCTCCTGTCTGCGTCCGAAGGTTCCTCTCTCCCTGCAGAGTACACTTCTACGTTGTTTGACCATTACACTTCCGTAATCATCGTCGACGGCGAGCCTGTAACCCTGGGACTCTGGGACACGGCCGGGCAGGTACAGTGAACAGGGGTCAAATGGTATTTGTTGTCAGGGGTCGGGTTTGGGTATGTCGAGTGTAAATAGTTTGTGCTCTTGAAAAGAAATAAAGTGTTTATATTTAAACCGTAACGGTCACGAACATCTCATTTATCTCCAGGAAGACTATGACCATCTCCGCTCCCTGGCCTACGGCCAAACTGACGTGTTCCTTCTGTGTTTCGATGTCAAGAACAGACAATCCTTAGAGAACATCTGTAACAAGTGGTACCCGGAAGTGGAAAAATATTGCCGTCATACGGCAACAGTACTCGTTGGTTGCAAGGCAGGTTAGTGTTGCTTATCATTGTTCATAATATCAATCCTTTGTTTAATGTAAGCTCCTTACAACGACATGTGCGTCAACTTTGATTTAGATTTTGTGATGCATAGGACATTGACAAAACACAGAGTTTTCTGGCAATACACGCTTTCCATCTGAATGTATATATACTGAGCAATAAAAGAAACTTCACATGTGTCTCTTTATGTCCGAAGCAAACCCATAGAGAGCACTGAGTGTTGCTAGTGGATAAATCTGGTTTAAGGACCTAATCAGGGTAACCTAAAACAGGATTAGGCATAACCCCCTGGATGCCGATATATGTTTCAGGCGCACATTTTCATAAAGTTTGAAAAGTGAACGTTGTGCAAGAATTGCGCTCGCGTTGTCGATGATGTGCGTACGGCTATAAAATTACACAGAAATGCGCCACAGGGACATATATGTCATTCCTCCTCAACCCTCACTTTGAAGTCCAATACAGTATAAATATATCACGCACACAAATATACTTCACAGTTTCGAATTCGGCGGGAAAATCTCCTGTTTCTTGATACCGTCCACTATTATCTCAGACAAAGTTAAAGTGCTGTAAAGGCCTTTCAAAATAGGCTTCATCGTAAATGTCGCCATTTTTGACACAATACGAAATCGCAATTCACAGCATTATTTGCTGTATGTTTTGAAACGTGAAAATCGGAAAATTACTGTGAGTATTGTATTCAAAAATAACATATTAATGATCAATTATATCAGGTTTTCATGAAATCACTAATGATGATTCTGAAACGTTGCCGATGAACCGAATATCGGTTGGGATGTTTTCGAAAATGCACTAATACGAACGCCGAAGTGCGCTTTCCGCATATTGGATAGTGTTTACAAAATCACGTTTCGCGAAGGCCGGTATTGAGACGCATATTACACCACGTATATTTCATATTCAGCTACGACAAATGCATCACAGAATTTCCCATACAATTTGGAATTAAATGACAAATGGTCTTTGTGACCAATACTAAGTGTCTAGATGAAATGAAACGAAAGATATCGGGTGAGCCCTCCTCCACAGCCAACAGTAGCACGATAAGGTCACTTCTTGATTTCACATAGACTTTACATATGTGTGTGTGTGTGTGTGTGTGTGTGTGTGTTTTGTATATATACATAGACACACACATATACGTCCCATCAGAAGTTTAGACTCACTTAAAACACTTACTATATGTTATGTATATATATATGGTTACATCGAAGATGAATTTCTCCACTAACTTGGAGGAACCAACTGCAAACTTTATGCAGATGAATTGCACGAGGATCATGCATCAATTTGCTGAAAAGCATGTGCAAATATCGTGCATGTGAAGAGCTGCGTTTTGATGTAAAGTTTTGTTAAGTATTCGCCAATTTTCACTGATTTTTATCATTTACTGAACTCATGACAATAATCTTTTCAACGTTACGAATTTGTTTTACAATACATCAGTTCATGTGTAAACAGTGCCTTCCTTTAAACAGTATAGGATATTTGGCAAAATGTAGTTTAGAACAGTAGCCTGAAGTAAGTGGCTACATTTACTCTAGTGAGTCTAAAGTTTTGATGGGAAGTATATATACATTCATTCCAGACTTACGTAAAGGTGCCGGGGATGAGACAGCAGTGTCCTACAAAGAAGGTTCTGCATTAGCGAAGACCCTGAGGGTGAATTACTACGAAACAAGTGCCCTGGCTTTCAAAACTATTCTGCAATGTTTCGAGGGAGCCGTAAGTACCAGTTCCAATACTTCCTTTAATAGTTGCATCTTCATCTCGTATCCCACAAAGATATGATACATGTTGTGTCACCGATCTCCGAGATAATTTCCTTGTTAAGTACACTGTAAAATAAGTGTGACAAACTAAGATGATGGCTTGTCTTGTAAGTCATTGGTGAATAATGGACAGATAACCATTTCAGATCAAGTATGGATTAAAGAATCTTGAAGCCATGAAGAAGCAAACCGTTTTCAGGAGATTCAGGAAACCTATGCTGCTTCGTCCGGCAATGCCACCCGCAGGTACACGCTCTACTCACAAACAACACCTTCAAACAGTCGACATAGGGTTGTAGTCAGTAAAAAATAATGTAGTGTATGAGATGTATACTTCTACGACTTCATTTCAGCAGATCGATCACTGTTTATTAACTTCTTTAAGAGAACGAATATTATTTTGTTTTAGGATTTTGTTTTTTATTTATCATGTAGCCATTGTAGATTTGACCCCTTTGCCGGAGATAGGGGCGTCCGAGTTTGCTGACCACTGGTACCAGCTCCTGAAGGACCCCAAGTTCTCGGACGTCACCTTCCTCCTGGGTGACAGACATCAACTGGACGCCCACAAGATCCTCTTGTCCTCAGCCTCAAAGTTCTTCGCCCAAATCTTACAGTTGCCATATACAAGAAAGGTAATGAGTCATTTTGATTCTGAATAACGTACTTTTCGTTGGTCTAATATCTGATGCTTTACTAAAGGAAGGCTCATTTGATTAAATGTGTTTGTTGTGTAGCGTCGCACTAAGCGATAGTCCAGGATTCTATGTGAGTGAATATAAGTAAATAACTGAAACTGTGTCAGACTGTAATAGGCATTAGGAACATCGATCCAAGCAATCTGATTGGATGACATGCAAGTCTGACTATAATGACACCCGATTCCTGTTGTCGCCGTTGATGAATGGCATGGGATGTCTACCTTTTTTTATGCACCAAGTCTAAATTACTCCTTAAGAAGTTTGTACATAACTAACTATACATATTTATTCAGTGTGTATGTTCATTCATCCATATGTATTTATATACCTATGAACCTTTGCAAACGATTATGCCTGGTTCGCATTTGGCCTGCGATGGCTCTACGGCGCCCGTAAACTGCCCGAAAACTCCATTTCCGTGCGTCGCCGTGTGGCGGCAGGCAGCGGCCCTACGATTATCGCATTCTACAGACAGCGAAGTTTGACAAATTTGGAAAAATCGTAAGCCCGTATCCCGCATTTGGTGGTGATACGGAGATCGTACGGAAATCGTGCGGTTTCTGTACGGTCTCCGCAGCTACTGCACGCACATCGTACGTTGATAAAAATCAAAAAAAATCGCAAAAAAATCTGATGCACAACTGAGAGAAGACTCTTGTCACTCTCGTACCTGAGAAGCCTAATACATGGATAGATTTGACTGAGGTTGAGAGTAATCGTTGTGTTTAAATACACACTTTGTTGGCCATAAGTTGTGATGATTATGACGATTTTGGTGATTTAAATGACCGTATTGGACAGTTTTATAGAAACACTACGTGTCAGATATCTCGGTACATTGTCGTGCCAACGGGGCGGTGGGGTAGCCTAGTGGTTAAAGCGTTCGCTTGTCACGCCGAAGACCCAGGTTCGATTCCCCACATAGGTACAGTGTGGAGCCAATTTCTGGTGTCCCCCACCGTGGTATTGCTGGAATATTGCTGAAAACGAAGAAAAAAACCACACTGTGATACTGGTCTTTGGCGTGACGAGCGAAAGCTTTTATCACTTCCGTACCCCACGTGTCAAAGTAATGACGAACAGGTTCGATCTTTCATCTGCGTATGTAAATATTTAAACAGATACTCTTTTTTTTTTAATTAGACCAACCAGCTGACAAAGGTCAAGGAGACAGTGGTCATCACCAGGGATGACCTAAACTCAGGCAAGGTGGACGGCATCACCTTTGTGTCCGACACAGACTGCAAGACCAAGCCAGGTCACGTGACCATTCAGCTCAGCGCCGACATCACGGCCGCCATATTTACACACGTGTTGGAGTTCCTGTATACGGGTATGCTTAGACAAGAATCTAGTCTCTGAAATGAGCTATTTCACAAAAAACTCAACAATACAATACAGTCATATAGATTCACTTTCAGAAACTGCGGAAATCTAGACTTGCCAAATATTATAGACATTCATGAGCTGTAATCGATACAAATTGTTTGTATCCGAGCCTGTATGACAATCAAGCGTAAAACATTATTTCCCTCTATTTCTTCTGTATCAAACTGGTTAAAGTCAAGTAAGTGAGTGAAGTTTTATCTAGTCGCAGAGATCTTAATACATGTAAATATCTTTTTGAATATTTGACTATGGACAAAGGAAACAGTTGTTTCATAGCAAAAAGGAATGATTTACACTACGGCGAAATTGGCACATATTGGACCAGGTAGCCCTTTGACTCTGGCTTTCGAAGTTTTCGATCAGCATTGGGTTAATGACGAGTCGTTTTAGGAGCAACAGTATGATGCATGAGAGGTATATGTATCTCATATGTAATGGTATTTACATAGTAGTGCAGTCCTACATCTTGTGGCAATACGAAGCTGTTTGTAAACTGACGAAAAATAGCAAGTACTTCTTATTGGAATTGATGGTATGTTTATATTTTCATTTGAAACTATTTGATGTTCAAAACGTGAACTGCTCTTGCGCTTACAACAATACTTCTGCTTGATACTTTTAAAGATATATTTTGATTGAGAATCTTAAGAACCTATTAGCTCTACGTGGCATTGTTTTCAAAAATATAATTTGATTTAAAGCTTTTAAGCTATTGATTGTTTTCGCATTATACTCATCTGATATTCGAAAATCAATATATAGTATATTTGCTTTTTTCGGAAAAAATATATAACCTGTAAGCAAAAGTACAGCAAATGCATTTTTTCTAAAGTCTTCTTCGAAGCAATTTAATTTGTGTTCCTATACCCAGATACAACTTACTTTTGCCAAATTGTTGCAGGAATGGGCGACGGTTAAAAAGACCTAGTCAAAGTTCTTTTAAGTTTCGGTTACATAAAATTTTATAATATATTTTTTCATCTACAGAAGAAAAATGATTTCAATGTACTTTCTTTTACTCAGTTTACGAAATAAGTAGTTCCTGTCTGGTCTTCAGGAACTCCCCGACTGCCGGATGACGTCAGTGAACAACGCCTGGAAGATCTCACCAGGGTGGCCGAGATCTTTAAACTCCCCCATCTGGTGACAATTTGCCGCAACGTGTTGAACGGTGAAGCATTCCTCAACCACAGAATCACCACCTTCTTGAACCACGAGACGGCGTCCAACATGAAGGAGCTGTATTTCAACCAGCCAGAGGCAGCTGATGTCGTTTTCGACATCGGAGGTAAGAATGGGTCATCGGTATTTTTCGTCGGTTTACTGAATATATTACGTTAACGTTTGACGTTAATATTTAGTACGAATTATCCTCCAAAACAATGCCATTGACAAAAATGCAAATTAGCGGTGATGATTATACGAAAGGATCACCATTATTCAGTGATAATCTCATTACACTATATGTATGTTTGCTTGGTTCTTAGACCCGTGAGGGGCGGTGGGGTAGCCTAGTGGTCAAAGCGTTGGCTGCCATGCCGAAGACCAGGGTTCGAATCCCCACATGGGTACAATGTGTGAAGCCCATTTCTGGCGTCCCCCGCCGTGATGTTGCTGGAATATTGCTAAAACCAAACTCAGTCAGTCAGTCAGTCAGTCAGTCTTAGACCCGTGAATATCTGGGTTAGAATAGGTCTTCAGCAACCCATGGTTGTCATAAGAGGCGACTAACGGGATCGGGTGGTCAGGCTCGCTGACTTGGTTGACACATGTCTCAATTGCGTAGATTGATGCTCAAGGTGTTGATAATTGGGTTGTCTGGTTGTTTCAAAGAGTATGTAACGTAGTCTTTTCTATGATGAAGACTGTGATGCTTTAATACAACTGTTTCAGGACGCGAGGTGTACGCTCACAAGGTAGTCCTGACGTCTCGGTGTGACGTCATGGCCGCCATGTTTGGAGGCGCTTTTATCGAGGCTCAACAGTCCGGGAGGTGCAAGGTAGGGTCTTGCGTTCTTGCATCTGCAGATCATCCGACATACTGACACCTGTGTACACTGTTGTGCACGTACTGTGCATGGAGATTTATATATTGGTTATCTATTTATTGACATGTTTGTAAACATACTCAGTGGACGATGTGTGAATTCATATAACCTATTATGATAGTGAGTTTTAGTTTTAGGTTTATGTCGATTTTAGCAATATTCCAGCAATATCAATATGAGGACCACCAGAAAGGGGCTTCAAATATTGTAACCAAGTGGGGAATCGAACCCGGGTCTTTGGCGTGACAAGCAAACTCTTTAACCACTGGGCTACCCCACCGACCCTCTGGACATTAGCGTATTAACTAAGCTACATGCCGCTATTCTGTTTCGTGAAGTGGTAACAGTAAATTTAGAATCACATTGGGAAATATACATTGATTCTCAGTAGAACATTTAAACAGACACTGATCGTGTTTACTGTAAAATAATGCGTATTGTTTTGTCTTCGAGGTGAACATTCCTAACACAACCTGTGAGTGTTTCCTGGCGTTACTGGAGTATCTCTACACGGACCACGCCCCCATTGAAGGCGGTGATGCTGTCGGGATATTGGTCCTGGCGGATGAATACTGTCAGCCTCGCCTCTTGAACATGTGTGAGTTGTACATCACCAAGGAAGTTGACCGGAGCTGTACCAAGAACATCAAGAAGTCCAAAATCGACGTCATCGGTCTCCTTCTGACATCTCAGGTAGGGATGCTAAACATCATCATAACAGTGCGTCATTAAACAACACTCATTTCCTCATTCTAGAAATCTGTAATGACAGCTCAGATAATGAGACTGAATACGACAGCACTGTAACTAACTGCATTGTTATACAGTGGACATGCGTGACCAAGTCGCCTAAACACCCGTGAAGATCCGTGTTAGAATTGGTGTCCATGCTTGTCGTAAGAGGCGACTAACGGGATCGGGTGGTCAGGTTCGCTGACTTGGTTGACACATGTCATCGTATCCGAGATGCGTAGATCGATGCTCATGCTGCTGATCACTGGATTGTCTGGTCCAGACTATTTACAGACCGCCGCCATATAGCTGGAATATTGCTGCGTGCGGCGTTAAACAAACAAAACCAGTTGTCTAAGGCGTCCCAATTCACTGTGCAGAGGTGCCATAGCTCAGGTAGGGTTCCTATACATTATCGAGATTTATATAAATATTTATTTACTTCTAACTATTTCTCATAATCAGAATGTACATGGATTCAACATTTAGAAATCAAGAATGATGGACAGGACGGAGGTGACTTTTTTATACTTATTCTTTAAATTCTAAAAGTCTTGACCATTAAATATGGCCTAAGATACACTATTGGTCAGAACGTGGGTAGCGTGGTCTACAACATTTGACCATCTTAGCGAAAGTCGGGGTTCGAGTCTCTTCATAGTGATGTTTTTGGTGCTGTCGTATATTTCTGAATCTTGTTATTGTAGCTTCACAACGCCTCCCAGCTGTCTAAATGGTGCCTACACTTCATCTCAACCAACTATATAGCTTTCTCAAAAAGACCAGAGTTCGTGATGTTGAAAGGAGACAATAGGGTCCACGTGGAAGAGAACCGATGGCCGCCATCGGCCTACCTCCAGGACGTGGAGGAGTATGAGAAGATGGTGGCGAAACAAGGACGAAAGTGTTCGGTCATGTGAACCGGTGTCATGTAGAGACTCATCGTTGGAAGTTAATGCTGATCGTGTGTATGATATTGGAAGGATCAAATCAGGTGGCGCAATGCACTTCCCAGCTGGGAGTTAATGTACCGCCATTGTTTGGTGTATAACTGTGAGAAACACAACAGTGAACAGCAGACAGCAGAGAATAGATCAACCTCCCACCTTACTCTGCCTGACACGCTGATCCGAACGTAAATGGGAACTTCCTGATGCAATGTGTTTTTCAAAAACCATGAGTGTCAAATTATATTCCAGTCTCTTTTGATAGTCCCAGTTACGTAGATCGATGCTCATAATGTTGATCACTGGATTGTCTGGTCCAGACTCGATTATTTACAGACCGCCGCCATATAGCTGGAATATTGCTGAGTGCGGCGTAAAACAACAAACAAACAAACCAGCTATGTATTAAGATAGCACTTTTTATCACTGCCCACTTGGTTCCGCAAACTCTGCATCTAGTTCGTATGTCTTTTTGATCAAATACCTGTGGCTGGAGCAATCCAAGTAAAACCATGGAACTTTCAACATTTAGAAAAAGGTTTACCCAAAACCCTCAATGTGCTTCAAGGAAACTAATGTAAATATTCCACGTGAAGAACCTTCATTAGGTGGAGATGTGGCGGAGTTAACTGTGAAATAACTGCTAAGTAGCTGTGGTGCAGCCGTGAAGTATCTGTGATAATTCAGTGCAATAAATGTGATAAAATTGAATAATTCCTGTGATATGAATGCGAAATGAATATGATGCAACCTTGAGATAGGTTTGACAGCCTTGTTATATAGCTCTGACATCGTTATCAATGGCGAAATGGCCATAAAACCTGGGAATACATATCAGCACCAACGTGATATTGTTGTGACCCACAAATAGACCGTGGATTTGTTCAAATTTAACATTTGAAGCTTAAGTCTGTGCGATCATTTCCAAAGTCGAGTTCCGCCAAATGTACTAGTACAGCTTTTCGTTCAAACCTAAAACATCACAAACGAGTCGTGACACATAAGTAAAGGTAATTTAGTCACGAGTGAGTGAGTATTTTACGCCGCTTTCAGCAATATCCTACCAATATCCCACCAATATCACGACGGGTGACAACCGAAATGTTATCATGTGGGGAATCGAACCTGGGCCTTCGTCGGGACTAGCGAACGCTATAACCACTAGATACTCCCACCGCCCAACCACTCTACATAGTCAAAAGTTCTGTGAAAACTGACTCTGACCAGCACAAGAAGTGTGAGCGGGTCTGGTTTTATGCCACTTTGAACATTATTTCACGGAAAGATGGAAGTAATATAGGTGTTAGACGTGTGTCTCTCGAGAAAGGTTACGGCGTTAGCAGCCCAAAAACAGAATACAGGAAGAGTGCACAGCTGGTAAAACGAACATTGCATTAAACATGATTGTATAAAATGCATAGAATTGTTATGACATATTCACATGACATTCTGATCGTGGTCTAGTTTAACATTATTTAAGTTTCGATACACCTCAATAGTTCAAGCAAAGGTTATTGCATTGGTAACATATATATGGCTGATTTGATTTTTCAGTTGGCCGTTTTGGTTTGGTTCGGGGTTGGTTTTTTGCTCCATCGAGATTCCGAGTTTTATGAATCATCAGCAACAAATTCTGTCAATAAGTTTCTGGAGTTGAGAATCGATGACCTGGTTGATTGCATGGCATCGTATCTAGTAGGCGGGGATCTTCTTTCACAATATGTCACTGGATTGTATGGTCCAGACTAATTTATTTACTGTCCACCTTTATATAGAGGTACGTAATACTGCTAAGTGCGGAGTTAAAGGTCACATGCAACGTAAAACACAACTTTGCAGATTCTGATACCTTTCGGTATGGACATACCGAAACAAATCATCAAAAATGCAAATTCAACTTATAAAGTTGAAAAATAACGCGATGAAAAAAAAGGCGCGAAATCGGAGTTCCAACGATTCACTAATTTTCCCCAGACTTTTCTGGGGAAAACGGGTTTCAACAGCTGGGCTGCGCTCATAGCACGTGTGCAAGTACATAGGTTCGCGCAGCTTGGAAGCGGGTTGTCGGGTGAATACTCGGTGAAGGCTTTGGTGTGAGCTCTTTTTCTAATGTTTTGTTGATATCTCACAGGCGCGAGCTTTTTATATGTTATGACAGTAAATTAACTGTTTATATAATTTCATTTGTCTATTTCACCACACGTTCTTCTTACCGAGACACTTTCTCAGTTCGATACTTAAAAGCAATGTCATTATTTAGCGTTGACAGAATTTCTAACTGTGATATAGATATGTCGTTGTCACAGACAAAACTCAATGTCTTGTTTTATTGACACCTGTGTGTCTGCCTGCCTGTCTGCTAATGACAATATTCAATACACAGCTGCTATCACTGACCAAATGCAATTTGAACTTAACACCAATCAGGCTATACACCATAAACAAAATGCATTGATTTATGGCCCGAGTTCGGTCTCTGTCACATTATGTAATGACACAGACCGGCAGGTGTGATACTTGAACACATGACATGTTATGATGTCTGTTGATTGCAAAATGTTATACACAAAAAATGAGCATGTATTTACAAAACCCAACATCTCTCTATATATATACACACAATTAGCCGTGAAGGCATCTGCAAATGAACCAGCCGTTACACTTGAGTGCACACCCACCCGCTCTGACTGGGTTCGGTATCCCGGCTGCTTCGTTTCTTGGGAAGTAAACCGAAGTACACAATTTTGCACTTTCGATTTGCGATTGTACGCTTATAATTTTGTTTATATATTTTTTCGTAACCAGCAATGTATATTATATGTCATGAATAAGTGATAATTGTCTTTTAATTATGTTTGATTTTTTGGTTGCATGTGACCTTTAAGCAACAAACAAATAATCAACAAATAAAAAACTTAATTTTGTTTTGTTTTGACTTGTTTCTGGTGTGATCGAACAGTGCCCAGATACTTCTCCAATGTAAATGCTCCACGATCGATATACAGAGCTGCAGACTCGATAGCGATGTGCAACTGGTGGCAAGTGATGCAGATCTAGGTTTGTCATTCTCAGTAGTATCTAGAAGATAGTGACAAGTTTCGGACTAAATGCACACGCACCTGTCTGTGAATCATTCATTTCAAAGTTAATGTATACTTCTATGTACTCCCAAACATGTACAAGTTTTCTGAAATGCTCCCATCCTGTAACCTTCTAATGTCAGACATCTGTGCCGCTCTCAGTCGATACTATTGAATAATGCTAAAGAATTCGTAAGCGTCATGTCTTAAAAACTATAGAGTTATCTCAAAGCAGATATCAAGTGGTTGATGTGCGTTATAATTCAGAAAAATCGATAATAGGTGAGCGGTTGTTTACGGAGAGTCTGGTCTTGGGTAGAGATATATGGGATAGTGTATTTCTGACACTCGTGAAATTTACTCATCTTGAAATATTTAAACAGGTGGCTATGTTTTGGCAATATCTCATACTCCTAGTCCTGTATGTATGGTTTCACACGGCTCACACTGTATTTCCGTGATTTCAATGTCAAACTGACAAACTGAGGCAGCCATGACAGTTTACAGTGCCATCTATGTCTGACGAATGCCCACGAATAGAATCTAAATATAGTAACAGAAGCTGCTCACATGATTGGATGGTATTTTTAACTCTGAACCGTCTGTTCATATAGATATTAAATGTCGAGCTACTGATTTGTAGAAGTTTGCAGTGAGATACACGCTATTTCGGAGATATCCGAAATATTTCTGGTAAGTACCGTCTTTACACACTTGTCTATCAGCGACTGAATTTCGAAGCGAATTTAGGGTCTTCTCCATTTAGTTCTCAGATAGACGCTGTGTTTCTACACGCTAGGATGCTATGAGCATAATTGTATCTAGTCTGATGTCATGTTATCTAAGTAACGTTACGGCATAGCAAGACATATATAGCATAACATGCCTGGTCAGCTACTCTTGACCTCGTTAAGTCGGATTCCTCGCTTTCCGGGCAATCATGCTTGGAACGTCTATTATATACAGCATTACCGTGCAACCCAAATTAACGTTTGTGGAGTGGGGTGGGGTGGGATTTAGCCTTGTGGCTAATGCGTTCGCTCGTCACGCCGAAGAACTTGGTTCGATTCCCACATGGGTACATTGTGTGAAGCCCATTTTCTGGTGTCCCCTGCTGCGATCTTGCTGGAATAGTGCTAAAAGCGGCGTAAAACCCAACTCACTCACTTACGTATATGTTTGTACACTTTGAATGTTTCAACTGTCTTGAAGGCATATAATGATTAGGGGCGGGGGTGGCACAGCGGTTTAAGCGTTCATGTGGTGTGTTAAGGCAAGTGTTTGATTCCCCACGTGTGCCATGAGCGTAGCCCATTTCCGTTGTCCCCCAAAATAATGGTGCTTACAAATTGCTAAAAGCGGCTTAAAACTATATTCGTTCATTTATTGGATGTTACTTGTTTTCTCCATGCCTGGATTTTTGTTTGTTCTGACAGTAAAATGAAGAATATCAAACTAGTGGTTGTCGGTGACGGTGGAGTTGGGAAGAGTTGTCTCCTCATTGCATACACCACAGGCTCCTTCCCGTCCGGGTACATCCCGACTGTATTTGACAACTACAGCTGCGACGTCACCGTCGACGGTGAAACTGTCAACTTAGGTCTCTGGGACACAGGCGGGCAGGTAAAACATCATGATCAGTTTCTTTCTTTTATATCTTGGCTCATAATAGGCGTACAATGCTACATTATTGATCCAAACCATAGGCGCCCGACTCTGATATATTTATGATCCAAACTAAATCTGTAAACTGATGCAAACATCAATGCTAGAATTATATCAACAAATTAATAAAACCAATGGTTGGCGGTTGGTGAAATCCTTGGTGTGTGTAGCATACTGGTTAATGCGTTCGCTCGTCACGCCGGAGAACGGGTTCGATTCCCCATATGTATGCAAAGTGTGAAGCCCATTTCCGGTGTCCACCGCCGGGACATTGCTGGAATGTTGCTAAAAGTGGGGTAAGATTAAACCTCACTCAAATAACGGAGTGTTGTTACTTTGATGAAGAGACGGAACGATACTTGACGGTCAAATGTGCTCTGTTTCTTAAATAATCTATACAAAATTTCCATTTGTATTTATATCTCCAGGAAGACTATGACCGGCTCCGCCCCTTGTCCTACCCCCAGACAGATGTGTTCCTCGTGTGTTTTGATATCAAGAACAGAACCTCCTTCGAGAACATCCGTGACAAGTGGTACCCGGAAGTACAGCACTACTGCCCTAACACGCCCAAGATACTCGTGGGCTGCAAGACGGGTGAGCAGGAGTCATCGTAGATCAGCATTGGGAGTTTTGTCATTATAAGTTGACAATTGTGAAACCAGGGTCGTAGCTACCATTACCAAAATAGCCCGGCTTACACCTGATTGTTGCTGAATAGGTTGGGCAAGCCCTCACTACTATCTCAGTATGAAGCTTTGCAACCTATCGGGCTTACACGAAAAAAACTGGCTTGCTACGCGCCTGGAAACTATTCAAAATGTATATGATCGCAGTATTACTTCTTTGAGAGGCATTTTAGAACTTGTAAAGATGAAGGATGTTTCTCATTTGCGGAGATCGATGCCCACGATTTTGATCATTGGATTGTCTGGTCCAGACTCGATTATTTACAGACCGCCTTCATGTAGATACAATCTTGCAAAGTGCGGCGTTAAACTACAAACAAACAAACAAACAGATCAATGTGGGATGAAAACCCAATAGCGGCAGGTCTTACATGTTTACAATTTCCGCGAGCACCTATAAGGTATAAGGTGCTGAGGAGCCTAGACATATAATCGGGGTGAAATTGGATTCGAACCCACAGGATGTAATTCTTCACGGCGAACCGAGGCGCCTTTAGAGACCAAAACAAAGTATTATCAATGTCTTGTAGTATCTATCTAATTCATATAAGCCATTTTCAGATTTGCGTCGAGGTGACGGGGACAAAACCGTGGTATCATTCAACGAAGGAGCAGCACTGGCTGGTACCCACATGACATATATGGAAACAAGTTCTCTTGCCTTGAGGGGGCTGAAGGAGTGTGTGGAGGGGGCCGTAAGTATATACATTATTTTATTTATGTTATACGAATAATAAATAATAAATTACAAACTAAAACCACAAATTCTATATGAATTTCCTCGTCACCTCGTATTAGTTTGGAAAGATTTATTGGAAAGAATATACATACAGTGAGTGATTCAAGAAGCAGTTAATAAACAACTTCAGATATGCGAGAAACAGATTCCAGGGTACGTAGAAGGAAACTAGTGTGACAAATACATGTATATGAATAGATCGCTGAAAAACAGCGATGACACCAGCTGTTCCGGTGTTTATCAGTCGAACAGTTAACAAGTGTTCAGAAGATGTAGACACTATGACAGTAGACCTGCTGCCATGTCTAGTGAGTGAGTGAGTGCGTTTGGTTTCACTCCGCCTTAAGCAATATCACGGCGGGGGACACCAGAAATGGGCTTCACACATTGTGCCCATGTGAGGAATTAAACACGGGTCTTCGGCGTGACGAGCGAACACCTTAACCGCTAGGCTACCACAACGATGTCTCACCTTTCAGCACGTCAGGAAAGCCGCCACCACGTTAACACTCATCGTTCGGTTGCAGTTCTTGGTTACTATGAAATATGTCAATCTTTCAGATCAAATTAGGTCTAAATAAGCCTTCGTTAGTGAAGACGCTTAACATCTTTGGAAGATTCAAGAAACCTATGCCTCTTCCTCCGGTGATGCCTCCGGCTGGTAAGTACGATCTTGTTCACAAACAAACACATGAGTGGCTGGAGTGAGTCAATAAATTTTACGCCGCTTTTACCAGTAGCGGGGACGCCAGAAATGGGCTTCACGCGTTTTACCCATTTGGGAATCGAACCTGGGTGTTCGGCGTGACGACCGATGATTAACAACTAGGCTACCCCCACCGCCCTAAATGGCTTGAAGAATGTCTAGTGATAACAATGCAATGTTTGTGTGTGAAAGAATTAGACGTGGAATGGAGTCTTCTATAATCTCTGTTAATTACCTCCCTTTGCCAGAATGGAATTCATGACCCTTTTTGACAACAATGTTAGACTTTGTTATTATAATTATTTGCATCATTATCTCGTTCAAAACATGAACTGACCGCCTCTGTGGACGAAGTGGTTAGAGCGTCCGCCCGGAGAGCGGAAGGTCGCGGGTTCGATCCCCGACCGCGTCATACCAAAGACGTTAAAATATGGTACTTGTTGGTCCCTGCCTGGCGCTCGGCATTAATGGGTACAACAAGGACTGGTCGGCTCGGAGTCAGTATAATGTGTCTGAGTGGGGTATTCATGCTTCACTGCGGCATGGTATCTCAGTGGGCTAGCACTATAAAACCAGCTTAAGTCTGGGCTAGTACAAGCAGCCGCACATACACATACACACGCATGCACGTCGTCATATGAGCGAAATATTCTCAAGCACGACGTAAAACCCAATTTCGGCTCACCTCACCCAAAACATGAACTATCAGGTCACTGTGGTGTAATGCCAATGTAACCAATGCTCCGGGTATTTTTATATACAGTCACGATGATATATAGAGTTTAACACATAGGAGAACGCAATCAGGGCCATTCTGAGATTCATACCATCATAACCCTGGTACTGAGGCAGCACTACAGAGATTATTGCGCCGCAGATCATCTGCATCCTGTTTTTACAGATGAAATGCATGGATTCGGTCTACCGTTTGAGCACTGATTATTGGGTAATTCTGTCATTTAAAGGCCTGGCTCCGTGGACGGAGATAGAGACGTCCAAGTTTGCTGACCACTGGTACCATCTCCTGGAGGACCCCAAGTTCTCGGACGTCACTTTCCTCCTGGGTGACAGACACCATCTGGACGCCCACAAGATCATGTTGTCCTCAGCCTCAAAGTACTTCGCCCAAATATTAGGGTTGCCATTCACTAGAAAGGTGAGTGAGTTTAATTTTAACCCGCACTCAGCAGTATTCCAGCGATATGGCGGCGGTCTGTAAATAATCGAGTCTGAACAAGACAATCCAGTGATCAACAGCATGAGCATCGACCTACAGAATTGGGATACAATGACATGTGTCAACCAGGTCAGCAAGCCTGACCACCCGATCCCGTTCGTCGCCTCTTACGAGGATACTGAAGATCAATTCTAACCCGGATCTTCACGGGTATCACTAGAAAGTTGAGGAGTTGATGTAATATTGACCTTATATGTTGACATAAGCTGTGTTGCCCTGACCAAATAATTCACCTCTCCATTATTTGGCGTACACAGTGTATTTTGTGTATTCTACAGCATTTTCTTTGTTCGTTCGTTGTTTAACGCCGCACTCAGCAACAGTACAGCTATATGACGACGGTCTGTAAATATCCAGTCTGAATCAGACGATCCAGTGATCAAGAGTAATTGGGATACGATGACATGTGTCAACCAAGTCAGCGAGTCTGATCACCCGATCCCGTTATAGTCGCCTCTTACGACAAGCATGGGTTACTGAAGACCACTTCTAACCCGGATCTTCATGCATGTATGACCCGTGAAGATCCGGGGTAGAATAGGTCTTCAGCAACCCATTCTTGTCATAAAAGGCGACTATGCTTGTCGTAAAAGGCGACTAACGGGATCGGGTGGTCAGGCTCGCTGACTTGGTTGACACATGTCATCGGTTCCCAATTGCGCAGATCGATGCTCATGCTGTTGATCACTGGATTGTCTGGTGCAGACTCGATTATTTACAGACCGCCGCCATATAGCTGGAATATTGCTGAGTGCGGCGTAAAACTAAATTCACTCACTCACTCATGCATGTATTCTATGGTAACAACCAAACCATTAGTAATCTGCAAACTGCTTCACATACAGTCTAGACTCATTGTCGCGTTTGGGAGTACTCCAGCAATAGCATGGCAGGTGACACAGAAAAACATGCTTCCTACATTATTCCCATCTTGATAATTGGGCCCGTTTTTAGCAGACACGAGTGTCCAGAATGAGATATGTTCTTTATTTTTACGCCACTTTAAGCAATATTTCAGCAATATCACGGCGGGGGACACCAGAAATGGGCTTCACACATTGTGCCCATGTGGGGAATCGAACCCAGGTCTTCGGCGTGATGAGTGAAGGCTTAAACCACACGGATACCCCACCGACCCACGACCTCGGCTGTGTGCTTATGTAATATTAAAACAGTTGGCTTTCTCTTGTTCAGGTCAATCAGCTGACAAAGGTCAAGGAGTCAGAGACCATGACCCGGGAAGACCTTAACTCAGGCAAGGTGGAGGGCATAACCTTTGTGTCGGACACAGATTGCAAGACCAAGCCTGGTCACGTGACCATTCAGCTCAGCGTTGACATCACGGCCGCCACATTTACACATGTTCTGGAGTTCGTGTATACTGGTATGCCTAGTTTTTCGCAGCCGTTTTCTGTGTGAATTGGAACCAGTGAGCGAGTGAGCCTTATGGTATCGCCCATCATATTAGTGAAGAACAGGGTTTATTAGTCAAGTTGATCGTGTGTCAGCTTCCCAAACATTAGGTCCGTTTCGAGTCTCTTTAAGAAACCCAGCGGTCATGGACATTAAACTCCTGAAACAAACAAACAATTTTACGCAAACAATAACTACTCTATATTTTTTGGAAAGCGACAGGCGGTCCTTGTTACAGAAACTGCCCCAAACTGCGTGTCACTCGTTTTCCTGAAATCCATGTCGGGAAATATCAGGTGTACATTTACAAGAATTTTTAGGACATATTGGTTTACAGGAACCCCTCGACTGCCGGATGACGTCAGTGAACAACGCCTGGAAGATCTCATCAGGGTGGCCGAAATCTTTAAACTTCCCCAGCTGGTGACGATTTGCCGCAACGTGTTGAACGATGAGGAGATCCTCAACCCCAGCATCGGCACCTTCCTCAACGACGAGACAGCGGCCAAGATGAAGGACTTATACTTTAACCAGCCAGAGACAGCTGACGTGATTTTTGACGTTGGAGGTGAGGATGTTTGGTATTGCCTTAAAGCAGCTTCAGGGAATATATTGAAATATATAATACGTTTTGATTCCATAATTAGGTGAAAATACCGGCGTTCCAAATTCTTTCTACATATGAGTATCAGGAAGCTTATCACTTGAAGCAAAACCTACACACCAGAATATAAAAAAACGTATAACTAGTCTCCAGCAATCCATATTTGTCCATGAGGTCGGATGGTCGCTTCTGACCCAGATCTTCATGGGTCTAAGTAAATGTAATTTTAGCGTTGGTTGTCTTTCCCATAATGGAAACTGAGTGTCTTGAATTCATCTGTTTTAGGCAGCGAGGTGTACGCTCACAAGGTCGTCCTCATGTCTCGGTGTGACGTCATGGCCGCCATGTTTGGAGGCGCTTTCAAAGAAGCTTTTCAGCCTGGAATGTGCAAGGTTTGTCCAATCATGATGGTGTTTCGTTTATTGTGGATCTGCTTATATATACTCACTCTGGTCTAGTAAGTTTGTGCCATTTATGCTATGAAGTATGCACTGTTCAGTTTGACTACGAAATCAAGTGTAACTGTTTTCTTCCAGCTCAAGATTCAAAACACAACCTGTGAGTGTTTCCTGGCGTTACTGGAGTATCTCTACACGGACCATGCACCCATTGAAGGCGGCGATGCGGTCGGGATATTGGTCCTGGCGGATGAATACTGTCAGCCTCGCCTATTAAACCTGTGTGAGTTGTACATCACCAAGGAAGTTGACCAGAGCTGTACCAAGAACATCGAGAAGGCCGATATTGACGTCATCGGGCTCCTTCTCACAGCTCAGGTAGGGATGTAAATTAAACATCTAATGACAATAGTCATATACAACATTCATCTGTGTATAGGGGAGGTGTTGTATACGCTCTCTTAGGCACGCAAGAAACCTGTGACTAGGTTCGAATCCCGTATATGTTTCTAGGTTTGTCTGCTCCATACCGTGCCTACGACCCATGACATTCCTTCCACATGAAACTGGCATCTGTTGTGATAACTCAAATACTGTTAAACGCGGCGTTCAAGTAAACGCACCCACTCATTCACTTGTACATTAAATTTGACGTTTTTCAATGGTAATCCTAATAATCGAGGATAAAGCTGTGATGTTTAAATCTATGCCTCCGTTTAATGCAATATCTTGTTTTACTAACCGATAATGAAATATAGGCATGATATCACACCCTCCAAATCACCTTCTTTCTATTAGTGGTGAATATTTGCATTTCATTCTTGGTTGTCCTGTCATACATTTCTGGCTCTTGTTATTGTAGCTCCACAACGCCTCCCAGCTGTCTAAATGGTGCCTACACTTCATCTCAACCAACTACATAGCGTTCTCAAAAAGACCAGAGTTCGTGATGTTGAAAGGCGACAACAAGGTCCACGTGGAGGAGAATCGATGGCCGCCATCGGCCTACCTCGAGGAAGTGGAGGAGTATGAGAAGAAGGTGACCGATGAAGGAGGAACATGTTCAGTCATGTGAATCAGTTTCATGTCGGAATCTTGCGTAAACAAAAGCTGACGCTATTCATGTACCTAACAAGCAAGACAATTAGGTTTCCGTATTGTTTGTGTGCTTCTCAACTCCAACCACAACTAGAAATATATACCACAAGCATGGGATGGTGAAGGCCAATTCTAACAAGGAGATAGGAAACACTGAAATACGAACAACCTAAGCAAGGGTAGCGTTGGCAGTACTGGGGTTTGGAACTGGTAGACCAGATGCTTTATGCCGAAGTACCCCCGTGAGTCCTGGGCTGGGTGGTATACGTGTACCATTGTAGGTTTAAGGGCACAACATACGTGTTTCTTCCTGACGCTAGGCGAGTACACTCGGAGAGAGAGTATATACTGTGACTTGGCTTCATTGCATCTGTGCTAATGTGCCCACTCAGTGTTCTTCAATGTGATATGAAAGCTATGTACAAAAGTGATATATTTATCTGATGTACTTTAATGTGGGCCTTCCTGACGCATTTGTTGTCATGCCAGTTGTGTTGTGTGTGACAGGCGAAAGAGCATTTACTCCCTCTGTTTATAGCTGGTCATTTATTCATTTTGATGTTTGGGACATGGTTGTGTGTCGTATGAATGTGTGTGTGTGTGTGTGTGTGTGTGTGTGTGTGTGTGTGTGTGTGTGTGTGTGTGTGTGTGTGTCTGTGTCTGTGTCTGTGTGTCTGTCTGTCTGTCTGTCTGTCTGTCTGTCTGTGTGCCTGAGTGATTGTCATGTGTGCTTGTGTGAGTGTATGGGATTTATACTTGTGCGTGTGCATGTGCCTGTGGTCTGTTGTGGGCCAGTGTGGTGTATCTGTGTGAATGTGTTACCCATTACACTTTAGTTCTGTGTGAGCTTGTGTGCATGAAGGTGTGTGTGAGTGTTTGTGATGTGAGTCAGCATAAAGTTATGTGATGTCAGTATATGAGTGAGTGTATCTGTGATGTGAGAGTGTATGTGATGTGAACATCTGTGTGTCATGTGTGTGTGAACTGTGTGTCAGTGTCTGTGATGTGAACATGTGTGAGTGTGCCTGTGACTATGTGTCTGTGATGTGAGCATGTTATGAGTGTCTGTTATGTGTCAGTAACTATGTGATGTGAACATGTGTGAGTGCCTGTGATGTGAGTCAGTATGAGGCTATGTGATGTGAACATGTGTGAGTGTCTGTGATGTGAGTCAGTATAGGGTATGTAATGTGAACATGTGTGAGTGCCTGTGATGTGAGTCAGTATGAGGCTATGTGATGTGAACATGTGTGAGTGTCTGTGATGTGAGTCAGTATGTGATGTGACATGTGTGAGTGTCTGTGATGTGAGTCAGTATAAGGTCATGTGATGTGAAAATATGTGTGAGTGTCTGTGATGTGAGTCAAGTGTGTATGTGATGTGTTTGTGATGTGAACATGTGAGTGCCTGTGATGTAAGTCAGTATAGGGTATGTAATGTGAGTGTCTGTGATGTGAGCATGTGTGAGTGTCTGTGATGTGAACATATGTGAGTGTCTGTGATTCCAGCCAGCATAAGGGTATGTGACCTGAGCCGTCTCAGTTCCCTTTCAGTGTTACTTTTGTGACTTTGGTTCTGGGAACAGAAAATGCCGAGGAGGCTGTGTTTCCTTAGCATTACTGCCTATCGTTTATGATATACAAGACATATATACATGTACATGCTTGCAATAAATCCGATAAACACATTAAATGTTTGTTATTGATAATATGCCGTAATAGTAGTTAAAACGTAAACAAGAACGGTGTAGTTAAGGATCATAGATGACATAATAGGGCAACGTGAACCTGTTATAAAGGAATAATGAACGAAAGTGTTAAACCAGTATTCAATGTGTCCTAGACGACGTAGTGATGACGTGCACGTAAGATATAAGTTCCATTTATCTGGGGTCGGCTACGAATCGACTTGAAGTACCACACTGTTACCATATGGTTCGATTAAAATGGGTTTGAGTGACCGGGCCCTGTGATTGGCTTTGTCATCGCAGCCTCAGTGTTCATCACGATTCACTTGAATCATGATACATTGCCTCGATGCATTCTATATCATGTAATACGCCTTAAAAACAATCAGGTCCGCAGTGAATCATTCAGAAAGTCACATTGTACACATGTGGTGGAGGCCCGTGAAGATCCGGGTTAGAATTGATCTTCAGTAACCCATGCTTGTCGTAAGAGGCGACTAACTGGATCGGGTGGTCAGGCTCGCTGACTTGGTTGACACGTGTCATCGTATCCCAATTGCGCAGATCGATGCTCATGCTGTAGATCACTGGATTGTCTGGTCCAGACTCGATTTTTCACAGACCGCCGCCATATAGCTGGAATATTGCTGAGTGCGGCGTTAAACGACAACAAACCAACCAATCCCCACCACAAAATATTATCTGACCCCCGTTCACTGTACCTGCCCGGCTGTATACAGGCTCGCCGTCGACGATGATTACGGAAGTGAAGCTGTCAAACGTCGTAGCAATGTACTTTTCCGGGAAAGAGGAACCTTTCGATACGGTTACAAGACAAGTCTTCCCAACGCCTTCGTCACCGAAATCATGCCGCTGTGAAAACAAACATTGGTTAATACTAAATATAGCCTGTCAGGGAAGAGAAAATAAAACTTAAAAATTGGATTTGTCCAACACATACCAACTTTGTTCAAACGCAACTTCTGGCTTGTTGAAAACCGTTGCCACCCCAAAACTTAATTACAAATACACCACTATTGATTAAATTTATAATCATTAAGTTTTTGTCTCATTTCTAGTCACCAACAAACCAACCAGGGTATACTTTCTTTTGCATTTCAGATATAATGAGACTTCTCAATCCAAATAAATCGTGTGTTGCTTAATGGCCACAATCAAAACACTTTTAAAAAAAATTACGTTGTGTTTAGGAATATATCCCCAAACACAATTCGTGTACTTTCATGTGTGCGACAGTTTAACTAGTACAAGAAAAAGCGTGAAAAAATAACGTTTCTTTGTGTTAAAATATAATTCTTACCTCTAACTCTATAATTTCGTAATGGTTTTACATAATGTAAAAGAATCTGAGATGAGTAAGAGTCTAGCGTTTTCGTTTCGATATTGAGACGTACATACACTGTAGACATAACACTAACGTAACATGTACCTTGGGCTTAGATCTCTCAGCACCATAGCAAGTAGAGTCAAAGCTGAAATAGCATATCGGGTGGATGTGGCTTTTCAAAAAAGGTGCGTGAGTTAATAATACACGTCAATCGTATTTGCACTTCCTGTTGCTATCTTTAGATGTTCTGTGTCGTCATTCATAAAAAAAACCATGACGCTGTAAACCGTTATGGCCGCCTCCCTTTGGAGCGTTTGACAATACAACCTTACAAATCATTTCGAAGTTGTACAATATTCAGCTTTTAGGCTCGTAGTTTAAAATCTAATCCGGTTTTGCAGTACCATGCAAAATATCGCATTTATGAACATCCGTCTTCTTTTGATGTTTTTATGACTCACTCACAAACACACATAACCAATTTTTGGGGCAAGTCACAATAACCATGAACTATCAGCTACAGTGTAAAGATAACATAATCATATCTGTTTATGTTTTCTCGTGGAAATGTTACTTCTCCATGACTAAAGATGTCACACTTTAATGAAACCAATGTGATTTCAACTTGAATGGCTTTCTTTTGTTAAAGGAGTAACTGTTTAGGCAATGAAAGCTGACTTTATCTCCCCTGACCATTAGTGAATGCAGATTTGGTGGTTTTAATGGTGAAGCAGTAATTACTTTGATTATGTATATATTACGTATATTACTGTGTGCTGGTGATTAGGTGGCTGGCCATGAGGGTGTGGGTTCGAATCCCCGGATGGGACTCAACCCAACAAAAGTACTCAAGACTGTACTTTACTAAGAACGTATAACCCCACATATAACATATGTGACAATGTTTCAGTTATGTACTGGGAGCAGTGGGGTAGCCTAATGGTTAAAGCGTCCGCTCGTCACGCTGAACACCTGGGTTCGATTCTAAACATGGGTACAATGATGGAAGCCCATTTCTGGTGACCCCGCCGTGATATTGCAGGAATATTGCTAAAAGCGGCGTTAAACCATACTGACTTGGTGTCTTGACCACACAATCCAGTGGTTGACATCGTGAACCTCGATCTTCGTAACTGTGACAGTGACATGCATAAACCATGTCAGCGAGACCTGACCATCCGATGCCATTAGTCGCCTTTTTCAACAAGGCGGTGAAGAGCAATTCTATCCTGGGCCTAGATTTTCGAAGCTCTCTTAGCGCTAAGATAGTCGTAAGTTAATGTTAATGTATGGCACTTACGACTATCTTAGCGCTAAGAGAGCTTCGAAAATCTAGGCCCTGGATCTGAGAGAGCACAGTATGTCCAGTGACATTGGACCTAGAACCAGGTTTTAAAATGACCATATTTTCAGTCTTTCTTTGCCTTCCCTAGGTGTATTTACAATTATGTCACGGCCAGTCATCCTGTTGTTGCTGCAATACACTAATGGAATAACAAAACATGTCAACTTAATATTATAGTTTGTTGTTTAATATTCTAGCTATGTGGTGGCGGTCTGTATTTAATGGAGTCTGGACCATACAATCCAATGATCAGCAGCATGAGCACCGATCTGCGCAATTGGTCCGTTGGTGTGTTGCTTATCGCCGCACTCAGCAATATTCCAGCTATATGACGGCGGTCTGTAAATAATCGAGTCTGGACCAGACAATCCAGTGATCAACAGCATGAGCACCGATCTGCGCAATTGGGATGCGAAGACAAGCGTCAACCAAATCAGCGAGCCTGACCACCCGATCCCGTTAGTCGCCTCTTACGACAAGCATGGGTTGCTGAAGACCAATTCTAACCCGGATCTTCAGGGGTTTGTAGATGCAATAACACCTTGATATTACTCGTGTTTATTGCGAGTATATATATACATGCATGCATGTCACTATAGTTATATACAAAGGAAACGCTTTACAAGACATGGTTAACACACAATTTGAGCATCCACGTATACCAGTACCTTAATAGGTATCTAACATCAAAGTGAGTGAGTCTTTAACACGGCAGTCAACAGTATTTTGGTCAGTATCCGGACGTGGACGCGTATATTCTAGGTGGGAGAAATGACTGACCCGCCGCTGTAGGGTAACTACTTTTGAGATAATTATGAAGAGAAGTATGGTTCTGGCATACCCAGAAACAAACTCAGGACGAATTTGGGATTCGAACACAGTAGTAGGTTTCTGACACCCCTTTCTGACAATGATTTCTCCATATCGAATTGCGGCGGGTTGGTTGGTTGTTGTTTTACGCTGCACTCAGCAATATTCCAGCTATATGGCTGGTGCCGCGCCATAGACGACTGTTATTTTCCGCCTGTCTCTTTCACTCCATCAGCGTAGGATATAATAAACAAACGCAGGAGACATACTGGTTCACATAAATCAAGGCAACAATTTGAAGGCTACATTATGGCTTTCGGACCTCATGAATATGTACTGTCCACAAGAAGTTATGGTGCTCTTAACTTATCAACTTGTCGTCAGGTAGTGCCCAATTTTCCATATGTCAACATGTTGAGCAAACATAAGTCATAACGCGGTGCAGGTCAATGTTTTTTCAGCCTCTTCTTCAAAGAGAGGGTATATGCACGTGAAGCACGTGCTTCACGCAAACCAAACTAAGTCCGACACAACAATCGCTGTCCATGATGTCAAGTGATGAAAGTATTTTATATGTGATGCACTCGGCCAGCTCAAGCTTCTCATGACGAATCTGTTTGTGAAGTTGATCACATAACTGAACACGTTCCTCCTAGTTTCGCCACCTTCTTCTCATACTCCTCCACTTCCTCGAGGTAGGACACTGGCGGCCATCGGTTCTCTTCCACGTGGACCTTGTTATCGCCTTTCAACAAAGTGAACTCTGACCTCTCGGAGAAGGCAATGTAGTTGGACGAGATGAAATGTAGGCACCATTTAGACAGCTGGGAGGAGTTGTGAAGCTGCAATATATTATAGATGTCTGCAGTTAATTGACATGAAAACACAAAGTAAAGAAGTTTTACATAACCGGGATATTTACGACATGCCGTAAAAAGGTTGCTGATGCGACGTTGAGCAATGTTCATATACTCGACGTTAGGCGGGAACTCATGCCCTATATTGACTGACAGACCATGATGAATGATTGGGTAGTTTAATGCCACAGCTTATTGTCAGGATGGGAAGCATATCTCAGAAGGGATTCACACATGTGTATTGACGGTGTTGACACACCAAGAAACAAAATAGGACGAACTTAGGATTCGAACCCACACACCACAGATTTGTGAGAAGCCTATGACGTTATTCGGATGGCCACATTCTTCAAATAGTGCGGTAATATTCAAATAAACATTTTTCTTTCACCTTTAGTATTGAAACGACAAGCATAGACACAATCAATTCATCAGAGGTGTTCCTCATCATTGATTTCTTAAATGAGGAAATGAGTGTTGTTTAATGACGCGCTGTTATGATGCTGTTTAGCATCCCTACCTGAGCTGTCAGAAGGAGACCGATGACGTCGATTTCGGACTTCTCGATGTTCTTGGTACAGCTCCGGTCAACTTCCTTGGTGATGTACAACTCACACAGGTTCAAGAGGCGAGGCTGACAGTATTCATCCGCCAGGACCAATATCCCGACCGCATCACCGCCTTCAATGGGGGCATGGTCCGTGTAGAGATACTCCAGTAATGCCAGGAAACACTCACACGTTGTGTTTTGAACCTTGAGCTGGAAGAAAACAATTACAAGTTTTTCTACAATAAAGATAGCCAGTTTCTGTTTCATGCTGATACATTTCAAACACTTAATTACAGATGATAAAGGTTTTCACAGTTTTGAACTTGACCTACATACTTGACATACATACATGACACACATTGTTTTCAAATATAGGTTGATAGCTGACAAAAAAACTTTTAATTTTCTTTGAAGTCAGTGAACTTGAAGAACAGTGTGAGGACAAGAACAGGAGCCAAATACCACTTTCAAAATACCGTAGCTGATCTATACAATTACATAACCATGAATTTATTACCTACAGGAAACATGTATATTTTCCATATATCTATGTCTATATACAATTATACCAGATGAATTCGCAGAGTTCATGTTGTAATGTAGCACTGTACATAATGAAAGGCACTGGTTGGTCAGACGGTACTAATTTCCAGTGGAATGGGAGGAACTCCGGAGAAGACGAACAGTGAGTCAAACTATTTCTCTGGTCACAATGGTTCAGAGACAGTGGGGTTCGACTACGTGTGAATACGTATTACCTCCTCAGCTGATATGTGAGTAATACACAATGTCCGAAACACCTTGCGGGGACATACCTTACACTTTCCGGACTGAAAAGCCTCCATGAAAGCACCTCCAAACATGGCGGCCATAACGTCACACCGGGACATGAGGACAACCTTGTGAGCGTACACTTCAAGCCCTGAAACAGATGACAAGAAACAGTCAGTTTCTGTTGCAGAATAGATTATGAACAGTATCAAGAACAGCATTGAAATAACTAATATGAGGATCGTTCATTGTTTTACTGCCGTCTATTTGCATGTGAACATGATGATGCCATGCCCTGACAGCCAATTACAATGCCTTTAGAGTTATGAAATACATGCATATTATTCAGATCTAATGTTTTATATCCCGTATCCATACCTCCAATATCAAACACGACATCAGCTGACTCTGGCTGGTTAAAGTACAGCTCCTTCATCTTGGCCGCCGTCTCGTCGTTGAGAAAGGTGCCGATGCTGGGGTTGAGAAAGTCTTCGTCGTTCAACACGTTGCGGCAAATCGTCACCAGCTGGGGGAGTTTGAAGATCTTAGCCACCCTGATGAGATCTTCCAGGCGTTGTTCACTGACGTCATCCGGCAGTCGGGGAGTTCCTGTAAACCAGAGCAATGTTTTAAGTGCGCTACATCTTCAGTATCTGACGGAGCCCTGAAGATCAGGGTTATAATTGATCTTCAGTAACCCATGCTTGTCGTACTAGACGACTAACGGGATTGGGTGTCAGCTTCGCTGACTTGGTTGACATATGTCATCGTTTCCCAACTGCGTAGATCGATGTTCATGTTGTTGATCACTGGATTGTCTGGTCCAGATTCGATCATCTACAGACCGCCGCCATATAGCTGGAATATTGTGGAGTGCGGCGTAAAACAACTCACTCACTCATTCAGTATCTGACCCTACTTTGAAGAGAAAGAGTCCCCAGGCCCCAGGGTCCCGATCTACGACCTGTCGTAACTCTATAGTTTATCATAGGCTTACGAATGTGGTAGCGCTACGAACGCTTTGTGGATCGAGACCCAGATCACCAACCTGCCAATAGAGACGACAAAGGTTTGACTGCAGATCCGTGTCCCTTGAGAGTGCCAGGGCCTAGATTTTCGAAGCTCTCTTAGCGCTAAGATAGTCGTAAGTGCCATACATTAACATTAACTTACGACTATCTTAGCCCTAAGAGAGCTTCGAAAATCTAGGCCCTGGAGGTTATGATTTGCCCTAAATACGTGTCTACGTTTGTCCGCGCAATTCTCGTGTCCTTAAGTTTCACCAAAATGGTATTCGTCTATGACAGACATCCCTGCCGTCGTGTTCGATCATGAGGCTGACACGCCGTGACGTAACGGAAATTTTATTGAAAGTGGCGTAAAGCAAAACGATTTTGAGAAGGATCAGGATGTTCAAATGGTGCCACGTGATTGAAGGTCTGTCATCGTATACTAAAGCAACAAATCGTCCCTGGCGATCAGCCTGCAGACACACCGTAACTTAACTGATATTCTGTTGCAGGTGACGTAAAACAAAGTCACTCATAAAACGATTTTGAAACTAGGCGTACCCGTATAGATGAACTCCAGCACGTGTGTAAATATGGAGGCCGTGATATCAGCGCTGAGCTGAATAGTCACGTGACCTGGCTTGGCCTTGCAGTCTGTGTCGGACACAAAGTTGATGCCCTCAATCTTCCCAGAGTTGAGGTCTTCCCGGGTCATGGCCTCCGTCTCCTTGACTTTTGACAGCTGGTTGGTCTGAATAAAAAAAAACGCTTTTTCTTTAATATTTACTTACAAAATACCGTTGGTGCAAAGCATTGCTGGAAGTTCATAACCATGTCACCATCTAGCATTGGGGAGGTCTTTGGGTGTTCATCATCATGCCGATTTCAGGCCGTGAAGATCCGGGTCAGAACTGATGTTCAACATCCCTTGCTCTTCGTTACAGACGCCTACTGGAATCAGGTGTCATGGTCAGACTCGCGTGTCATCCAGTCAGATCGCTTGGATCGATGTTCCTAAGGGACCGTTCATAATTTATGGCCGTGTGTGTGTGTGTGTGTGTTTTGGTGTGATGATGATTTTATGGAGAAGCATGTACAATGTGGATGACCCCCCCTAAAATTTATGTACAAAATAAGTGCGCCCCCACCCCTTGCATGTCATGTACAAAGTCAATGACCCTCCCCTTCCCATAATTTCTAAGCACAATTTTAAACATGTTTTTATGTACACAATTGCTGACCCCTCCCCCCTAGTATGTGTGTACAAAATTGCTGACACCCCCCAGCTCCCAAGAACAATATGGGTGGGGGACGGGGGGGACACCCCCCCCCCCCCTCTCTTAAAATCATCATCACCTCCCTAGCCATATATGAACGGTCCCTAATGTCAATTACAGTCTGACGGAGACCCAGTTCTTTATTTACATTGACTTATAGAACCCTGGACTATCGCTTTGTGCGACGTTAAACAACAAACAAATGTAGTCAAATGATCCTTCCTTTATAGTAATGCAACAGATGTTAGACCAACGAAAGTACGTTATTCAGCATCACAATGACACATTCATACCTTTCTTTAAGTCTGTCTCACAGTCCCTGAACCACATTATTTTCCCTACTGCCAAGCCCTATCTGCAGTGCTAAAACCCTAAATAAAGCAAGTCTAGATTTCCCCAGGTTCAGGAATCTGAATCTCTGGTCTCCCTGGGGCTCCTTTTCAATTTAAATGGGCTTGTTTGTTACTATCAAAATTATATATATTCAGAGACTAAGCGTTAGTCTAACCTTTCTTGTAAATGGCAGCTGTAAGATTTGGGCGAAGAACTTTGAGGCTGAGGACAACATGATCTTGTGGGCGTCCAGATGGTGCCTGTCACCCAGGAGGAAAGTGACGTCCGAGAACTTGGGGTCCTCCAGGAGATGGTACCAGTGGTCAGCAAACTTGGACGTCTCTATCTCCGTCCACGGAGCCAGACCTTTAATAGTAGAATGATGATTGATACGAATAATCCAGTGATTGACGCTACTGATTTTACAGTACAGTGATATCGATCATTATGTGGTGACAAATATGTACTTATTAAACTCGTGAAAGATTTAGTATAAAACGTGATACCAAATCATTAACTCGTTTAATAAAAATGGTATCACAGAGAAGGTCGTATAGTATCCTCTTTGTATCTATGACAACAGTGCTGTTACAATATTGTTATTTTTCATATTTTGTTTTGCGTTATTATAGTCACTGGTCCAAAGGTAATATGAAAACAATATGTAGTTGCATCCCTTAGCTGGACTTGGATACGCTGATAAAGATTTGGAATTTCATATTGGTTCTGATTATGAGATACAAATGTTTCACTTAAGTATTTGAGGTCGACTTCACTGTGGAGCCCCATTGTCAAGATGATAGCACGATGAAACTGAATATGTTTTCAAACGACGCTCATCTCAACTCACTAATCCATTTCTTTTTTTATCTTGGAAGGGAGATAACTAATACGGCGCCGTCCACTAAAATGAAGTGAATTCCACAATATAACACAAACACTGTTTGGACTTGCTAAATACAGAGAGGACATTTCACAGTTACAGTTGATGTTCTATTTGTGTGGGGAGCGTACATACCGGCAGGGGGCATCACTGGTGGGAGAGGCAGGGGTTTCTTGGATTTCCCGAATAGCAGACTCTTCTTCGGTGCCGCAGGCTTATTCAGTCCAGATCTGATCTGAAAAGGGCACATGGTCATTATAGCCCCATCACACCACTAATACCACAAATACCACTTTCATGGTATTGTGTACATAGAGAATACTACACTCGGTCTCATTACATACGAATTATACGAAACGAGTGTCCTTCCTATGGTATCTGACCGAGCAAAAGCGAGGTCAGATAACATAAGAAGGTCACGAGTTTCGTATAATTCGTATGTAATGAGACCGAGTGTGCTATTTTATTTATTACCCACGTCTTACATGCATTAAATTGACAAAATAGCGTATTTTGGTTCATATTTTTGGTTTCAAACCGAAACCGGTTTCATAAAGAGGTTGCGGAAGAGTTTTGTACTGTAGTACAATATTTGCATGACGTCACACTGCAATGACGTCACTGCCTTGGTAACCGACGTCACGATGCATGTCAGTTGCCATCGCCTCGTACAGCCTCGTACAGTAAACTACTCCGTAGCACCGCGTTTCTTGGTTTGCAATTGCTTCATTCGGCTAACATCACTGGTGGAAACATTGCGCTTATGTTTTTCGAACGTATATAATGTCTCAGTTCGACTCACAATTAAACAGCGACACGGCAACGTTCGCAATGTTTACATTCCCACAATGCATTTAAGTTGTAGAATGAATGAATTCACGTGTTTGTTATGAATGAAAAAATAGTTACGTCAGAATGTGACCTAATTGAGAGGTCATCGGTTATCCAATCAAATCGTTAGAATCTCAGGTCAAGTCGTTACGACACAGGTCAACGCGATACGACACTCGTGTGACGTACGAGATCAGTATGCAACTACCCATACGTTGACCACGTGGGTAATAAAAGCAAATATTAAATAAAGTCCGCTTCCATATGCTTAATTCGTATCTGGAGTAGCCTAGTGGTTAAAGCGATCGCTCGTCGCGCCGATAACAAGGGTTCGTTCTCCTTGTGAGTACAAGGTGTGAAGATTATTTCTGGTGTCCCTCGCCGTGTTATAGTTGGAATATTGCTAACGGCGACATAAAGCCAAACTCACTTAATCGGCATCAAGACCCGTGAAGATCCTGGGTAGAATAAGTCTTCAGCAACCCATTCTTGTCATAAAAGGCGACTATGCTTGTCGTAAGAGGCGACTAACGGGATCGGGTGGTCAGGCTCGCTGACTTGGTTGACACATGTCATCGGTTCCCAATTGCGCAGATCGATGCTCATGCTGTTGATCACTGGATTGTCTGGTCCAGATTCGATTATTTACAGACCGCCGCCATATAGCTGGAATATTGCTGAGTGCAGCGTAAAACTAAACTCACTCACTCACTCATAAGAGGCGACTAAGGGATCGGGTGGTTAGGCTCGCTCACTTGGTTAACACATACCATCGTATTCCAATTGCGTAGATCAATGTTCATGATGTTGATCACTGGATTGTCTGATCCAGACTCGTCCATTTACAAATCGCCGCCATGTAGCTGGAATATTGCTGTGTGCGGCGTAAAACAACAGACAACAACCAACAAAAATCGGCATCAGGTATGAAGCGTCAGTAAAAGAACACTTACGGCTCCCTCAAAACATTCCTTCAGTCCGGTCAGGGCCAGAGCACTGGTGTCAAAGTACGTCATCCCAAGCGACTTCGCTAATGCAGTACCTTCTTCCCACGACACCGCTGTCTTATCTCTGGCGCCTCGGCGTAAATCTGCAAAACGGTATATATTGCTACAAGATATCAATATTGTTTGACAAAGACAAACAGAAAATAGAACGTTTACAACGCTTGATACACTTGGTACGAGGGTTGTGTGGCGCTCAGAAACAAACAACCTGATCAGGAGAATCTGGGATTCAAACCCGTTATGATACATTTCTCGCAAGTCTATTGGTCGCAACTCTGTAAAGAGAATTGCGGTGCCTAATTTCAAAGACACACGTGTCCCCCTTTTTAACCCATCTGCTGAGTTTATTTAGAAAACACCCTTAATTTTAATAATGCATCTCCAGGAACTTTTCTCCGAAATCAAGCTAGAACGCTGTGTCATATTAACTGACAAACCATAAATGCAGCGTTAAACCAAATTCACTCACTCATTAAAAGAGACAAATAAACCATGAGAGAAGAACCTATTTTGAGCCTCTCTCAAAAAGTGATATCCGTGAAGATCCGGGTTAGAATTGATCTTCAGTAACCCATGCTTGTCGTAAGAGGCGACTAACGGGATCGGGTGGTCAGGCTCAGTGGCTTGGTTGTCACATGTCATCGGTTCCCAATTGCGCAGATCGATGCTCATGCTGTTGATCACTGAATTGTCTGGTCCAGACTCGATTATTTACAGACCGCCGCCATATAGCTGGAATATTGCCGAGTGTGGCGTAAAACTAAACTCACTCTTAAAAAGTGTAATAATTTCTTGACGATGTTTAGATATTTATTTGAAAACAATATCTGAAAAAATAAATAAATATCAAGTAATAACCGAAAACATGTGAGAACGTATATTGCTAACCTGTTTTACAGCCGACGAGTATCTGGGGCGTGTTAGGGCAGTGGTGGTGTACTTCCGGGTACCACTTGTCTCGTATGTTCTCGAAGGAGCTTCTGTTCTTGACATCAAAACACAGTAAGAACACATCGGTCCCAGGGTAGGACAGGGGTCGGAGCCGGTCATAGTCTTCCTGGGGACAGGAAAAAAACAAATTCTTTATTGCATATCATAGGGGTGGGTGTGTGTGCAGGGGTGCCCCCTTTGTCCTGAAAATGTGAAACTCTCGTGAAAACGGGTGAACATGAACTGTGCAATCCCCACCACCACCATCCCCCTTTCTCGAAAAGAGGTATCGGTCCCTGCGTATTTCCGGAAATAAGATCCGGGTTAGAACTGGACTTCCGCAACCCATTAACGGGATCGAGAGGTCAGACTCAACATTTCATGGCACATGTCATTGTATCGCGTAAATCGATGTTCATGATATCAGTCACCGGATCCTTATTTTTTCGGCGCATGTTTTCGACTACTGGTGCGTATTCCCGGAAGGTCTTATTCCGTGTTTCAGTATTCAACAATCTCTAAAAGACTGACAAGCCAAATCGTTGAAGTCACCGGTTTGTCTGATCTAATGATCTGTGATATATCACATTGTGCCACTGTTCCATACGTACGAATTACGGGTTCCATGTTATTCATTGAGCGACAAACATTTGAGTCCAGACCAGACAATCTTTAAAATGAGGACAAAAAACAAGATTGCTTTACCTGCCCAGCTGTGTCAAAAAAGGCCAGGTTTACAAGTTTGCCGTCGAACACGACGTCGGAGCTGTAGTTGTCAAACACGGTCGGAATATACGATGCCGGGAAGGAGCCTGTATTGTATGCAATGAGGAGACAACTCTTCCCAACACCACCGTCACCGACAACCACAAGCTTCATATAATGCCTTTTACTGTAAAAAAAAAAAAGACCACAAATTTATAATGAAATAGACGGACGGACTGACGGGTGGGCGGGCAGGCAGACAGACAGACAGGCAAACTTACAGGCAGACAGAGACACATTGAGATAGATATAGATATAGCAGGTTATAAGCAGGGGCGGATCCGGGGGGGCCCCTTTCCCCGAAAAAATCCCTGAGGAGCATTTCCCCCTAACCTTGATTTGGACTTCATGATTTATATGCTTCCCCCTTCTCCAAAATCCTGGATCCGTCTCTGATAAGCATATAAGCAATATATATATAAAAGTAAATAAGCAATGATAAAATATATAAAAGATGAGTCCAGATATTTCTTCTTGACAAATCGGCACTTAACGGCCCTGCCCATATCAACAAACTGTCTTTGCACATTAAACTTGTATTAATAATATATTAACTTACGTGGCCATGTCCGAAAGCACCATATATCACACCGATTCAAAGCTGAATTAAGGTAACATGTGAATAAAGTACCTTTATAAACCGGCGATAGAAGTTAAAAATACCAGCCAATCGTTTCGTCGTTTCCAGTTACTAAATTTAGAATCTATTTGCGAAAATTCGTCAAAGGAAGTAGATGGCGCTGTAACCTGTCATGGCCGCCTCCTAGTGTACAGTTTGACATTGAACCGTCAGCGAAGCGACTAACGGCTGCACAGTATTCATTATGGCATCTTTAGTCGTTGAAACCATGCAGGCTGAACTAGGGGGTAGGACACGATATTTGCATAAATTGAATAAAAATCTGTACTATGACTTACACATCTGAATTAACAATATCGTGGCCCAGATCATGCGGGTGTGATTTCCCCGAATCCCCGGTTATATTGTCAGTCATCATCTAAAATGTCAGGAGCTCTTCCACTTTGTCATTCATATGTATGTGACGATAACTGGTGGCAGACATTCACTTTCAATTGTGCGGCGAATGATCACTTGATTGATGAAAGGGTTTTTTGGTTTCACTCCTGTAAAGTAAGTGCGCCATCGGCAAACTGGGTGGAATCATTGTTGTCAGTGAGGTTATCCAGTGAAGGAACCTGAGTATGCTAGGGGCAGTTTATCTCCCGATTCAGTGTATTAGAGTCATGCCTTTACATCACAACCTATTGCCTTACAGCTGCAGAACCCTGGCCAGACAATGCAGCCCTTTTCCAGCCATATCAAGGTAAAGGTTTATCTTGATAAAATTATATATTTATATTACTCAGATTACTTATCTATCATCCAGATGTTTTGTAAAATATTGATTCTAAATGCTATATTGGTACATGAAACACCACTTGAAGTTATACCGATCATCATTAATATTTCATATACAAGACTATGTGCTAATATTATACCATACAGTATCAGTACTAATTCTTAACCATAGTGTTAAATGATATGTCAACCAGGTCGATTTAATGGGAGTTCAAGTGAACAAGGTTTTACTGTAGCAAGGTTCAATTTAAGGAAATTAAACCTACTTGCATCCAGTGCAACCTCAGCTAATGAACTTGTTGCACAGACAAAAACAGGTCATAAAGCTGGTCAATATAAAAATATATATAATGCTTGAGTCATGGTCTTGATGATTTAGAACTGTATAACAAATTTATTTAATGTGCAATAATGTTAAATACAATGGTAGCCCCATTTCTCTTCACCAGAAATGTGTCATCAGTTAGCAGATGATTGTGGTCATCCGTCATCTAAAATATATGTTAAAGTATCATCCTTTGTTAGGATAAGCTACAGTGCACAGGATACTTCTACCTACATTTGTTATATCCATTGACTGGACATGTAATATATCTACACAATTTTAGTCGAGTAATTATGTAAAATAAGCAGCCTCATGCTACTGAAAATAATGTTTGGCCACATCTGCATGGAAACAGAACGAGCTTGATACTGAAACCATAGTAACCATATGTTACTGTCTAGTTGAACAGATCACATTTCCGGACTATGCCCAGTGTTTGAGTGTCAAGACATTTCTCCACATGTGTGGACTCAACTTCAATGTGGAGCTTCGGACTAACGCGGAAGAGATGTCTCCCTCAGGTAACTATCACCCATGTTCATCGTTAAGGCCATCCACATTAGATGGTTACCTTGCCTTGTTTTCAGTGTTAAGGAGGAAAAAAAAGCACTAATCATCTTTGAGTGACTGTTCTGTGTCTGTATTCCAGTGGGCAACTAGTCCCTGAAAAGAACATATTTTACAGAAAAATACTCTCAGTAAAAAATAAAATATATTGAAAGGGAGCACTGAGGTTTTCTTCATTTTCAGAAGCTAAACAAATCTGCAGGGAGATAATTTCTTGGAATTGCACAACATGTACAAAGGGTCTTACCACCCATTACTGCTGAAATTGTGTGTGACAGGAATATTTATTGCCCCCAACACCTCCCTGTCCTACTGTCAGTCATGTAGGCTGTTTTGGGGTAATTAGTATCAAGTGTTGCCAAATCTATTTTGAGAGCAAGCAGGATACCAGCTAAGGGTAGCATTTCTTGATATTCCTATGGCTGGACAACTGGATCTCACAAAAATTCCAAATTTACCGTACTTATATTCTCCAAAACCCAAAGGTTCTGTCTTCACTATATGTGGAAGTTTAATTAATGTCGCATCGAACAGGAGAGAACTTTTTTTTCTATTGGAAGTACAAAGACAGAGCCATGTCTTCTGATTGAAAAATGTTCACTAGAAAATGTGTAGGTGAGGTCACTCGTGTGGACAATACTGCTGTAGAATCTGTAATTAATTTGTACCAATCCTGTGGAACTGAAGCGAAAAAGATGATTTTGAATCGAGGGATTCGCAGAGAAAGTCTTTAATGCAGCAAACAGGAGCGGAAATCTCCTATGAAACAGACACTGCACCTGTCTTTACCTGTATCATGCCACATTGGCCATTTCAATCAATCTTTATTTCTTGTAGTGGAAACCACATGCCCATTCTACATTTACATTTGACTATGAGAGAGTACATATATACAATATACAATGTAGACAATAACATACGTGGCATTAAATAATTGCATTATGTATTCTTACATGAGCAAGTAGCTATTTAAGCTATGTTATATGTTGCAGTGCTCTTGGTTTGTATTAACTAGTCACTGGATATCAGAAATTGTCACTCAACATTGTTACATTTGTTATAGCGATCACCATTATGTTCCGATGTCCAGTAGACTTTCGAGATATTATGGTCTGCAGTTTGAATTCGTTGCTTATGACCTTTGTTCTGTCAGCAACATACCCTTTCTCATGGGATTTACTGAAGTGGTAAACATGGTAAATGTTGAAGATCGCCTTTCTTTTGGACCTCCCTTCCTCAATCATTCACTCACTGTTATATTCACCAGGTAAAGTTCCCTTCATCCGTGTTGGAGCCTTCCTTGTGTCAGAGCTTGATCCCATCGTAGCCTTCGTCAACACAAGGGTTGGTAGTGCAGTATTTTCTCACATCTTGATGTAAATAGTAATAAAAATTATACATGAACAAATATTAACTTTTAAAACTTTTTCAGGCTACATTCCTGAACCTTTCACAAGGACAAAAATGATAATGTGCAATGGATGTATCCAATTTTGAATATCTTTCAGCATATCTAGAATATTGCTAAGTGTATTATTCCTCAACAAACAAAGATCATAAACTATTTCATGAACATGATGTAAGTAAAATATATCACATGAATTTTTTATGTGTAAGTTGAAAAACAATTTAATGATCAACGATTACAAGGAGAAAATATTTTCAAATTAAACATTTTAACATTTTAGGGATTCCAGTTAAGCGGACATCTTGACGAGCAGGAGAAGTCTGAGATGCGGGCCTACATGGCTCTTGTTGACAACCTACTGGTAAATGCAGAGGTGAGTACAAGCATGTGCCCATGGAGATTCTGGGAAAAATAGGTCTCCAGTTCTTTGTGGCTTTTGAAAGAGTTGACCGACAGGCATATTGTTTAGACGTGTGTGGTAGGTGTTAATCATTGCTCATGCTATCAACCCCTAGGATATCTTTTCCAGCACACATGCAGTACTGTTCAGTATTGAATTATTAACAAGCTGTGAATGGAGAGTAAATGCTCATCAGTACAAACAGGATTGTACTGATGTAACTGATTGTATTCTAACTTTTTCAGTTACACCTTGCCTGGTGTGATCAACAAGTATCAGAAGAGGTAGGTGTATCCTTAGCTCTTATAAGTCAATCCATATCTGATTTATCATATAACTGACAGTATGGATAAAAAAATGTGAACTATATTTTTGGTATCATGATCCAATCCATGTACAAATAAGAGGAGCTACTTCAAGTTCCAAACTTTGATCCAATGCCTTTGTTCTCAATAAATATTTGTTTAATAAAATATGAGTATTTGGAAAGAGGTTCCTAATACGTCACCATGCTACTGTACACAAACCTGGTTACAAGTCATCTTTCACTATATGATAAATTCAGCAGTCCACTCAAACTTTCTTTTCATACACATCTAAAGCAAGTTCATTGAGGGAAAGTACATTTTAAAAGCCACTTATTGTTGAAGTCACTCAAGGTTATTGACAGATTTTTACCCACATCAACTTCAATATCGTACATATCAGCTGTTATGAATATAATAGGTATCAAGCTTGCCAAAGGCTAAGGTAATACAGTTTTTGTAATATTCCAAAGTGCTTCTTGTCATGTCTGAAGAGGGGTGGTGGGGTAGCCTAGTGGTTAAAGTGTTGGCTTGTCACGCCGAAGACCCGGGTTCGATTCCCCACATGGGCACACTGTGTGAAGCTCATTTCTGGTGTCTCCCCCCCCCCGTGATATTGCTGGAATATTGCTGAAAGCGGCGTAAAACCATACTCACTCACTCATGTCTGAAGATCAATCCACTCTGGTGAATTCAGAAGTTTTCCACTATGTAAGGTGAAAAAGATAACTTCCTTTGGACAATACTGGTATGCCAATTGCTTAGTTACCATGGTTACCACAAGAAAAAAAACCGATACATCGAGTGTGTATTTAGCTGTTGACCACAGTTTTGATTGGTCAAGGCTTGAGTGGATGATCACGGTGATACAGTTGTACAGTACAGTGTTAAGGCCAGACCAATCTTATTTCTTGTTTTATTGATTTTTGCCTTTAGAAAACCTAAAGGCAGGAGGGGAAAAAAAAGAAAGAAATATAAATAAATAAATACTAAAAGTATTTTACTTTTGGCAATTTATGAAGTGTATATGGGGCATAACACAATCTAAAAAAATTTTTTTTGTAAATTTACATGTTTGACCAATAAAACATCAGGATTTTATTTTTTGAGCGGGAAAAATTAACTTTTTTTTTTTTCTTATTCTTGAAAAAATACGAAAGGCGGATCCGTAAAACAAGAAATAAAATTGGTCTGGCCTAATCTTCACTAACTCGTATACTGACATCTAGGTGAGCAAGCCGCGGTATGGATGTATGCATCCCTGGCCACTCAATCGTGTGCTGCCATTCAAGAAACAGAGAGAGGTCCGGGCTCGACTCAGCAGCCTGGGATGGGGCAAGAAGACGGTGGACGAGGTGATAAACAGCCCATTATATCCAAGTTGTAATTTCTAGTCTGTGGGCTCGATACTTGGGGTAAAACAATACAGGGTCACAATTCAATACATATAATACAAAGGTGATGATACGATACGATATATGTATGGCAATACACATATTCACAGCATGTTCGAAGGGAAAAGCTACATGTATTTGTAGACACATGATGGTCATGTCTATTTTTGTAGTATACCGGTAGTTGAAACAATAATTCAATTCATTTTTTAAATTCAACTACCAAATGATAGGATGGGGAGTGTCATTAAATGAGAAGTAGATACGATAGGAAGTCTGTTGTCTTGTATCGAATAACTTATCGTGTGTTGCATCACTGCATGAAAACTCAGTGTGCCTGTGCATCATTTCAACCTTGGTAACTTTACAGGTTGTGATATTTTTTAATTCTGGCTATTGCAAAGAATGGTGACCCCATCTCCTTGCTTGCTCTCTGACCATTATCGTGCTGGATCATATTTGGTCTTTGTGATGTTGTGTTCAGATTTACAGAGCATGCCTGCTTGTAGCTATGCCTTCAGCAGCTCTATCTGTGGGGGATTCTAGGGGCATATGCTTGTCATAAGAGGAAGTTAAGGGGTTTGGTGGTCAGGTGCAGTGGCTTGGTTGATATATCCCAGTTGGGTATACATTGATGTCAATCAATGGAGTGTCTGCTCCAGATGGGATTATTTACTGCTGGAATATCATAGCTTTCGGCCGGAAAGTATGCCAATTGAATTTCAGAGGGACAAATTCCGCGAGTCAGACTATTCAGTTGTTCAACTTCCAAGTGTAATCCCAAATTTAACCGCTTTGACATTTGACCACGATTTGGTGCCTGACTCTAATGTGGCTAATTGTGTAATCAGAATTAGCATTACTAAGAAAAATCCCTAATTAATACCATTCATTTGGTTCAATACATGATAAGCATTTGAAGACCATTCTTGGTTCAATACATGATAACTTGACACGCATGGGAAACAATGGTAACATGAAGCACTGTCATTTCAGTGGACCACAATTTGCATTCAAGATTGGAATTGGTTCCAAGCCATCCATGCTTGTTGCAGATACAGATGATGTTCAGACTGTCATTCCTCTGTCAGTACTATGTTATTTCCCCTGAGAAGATCTGGATTATAATTGGTCTGATTGGCTGGTCATGTTATTATTCTGTTTGTTCTGTCTGCAGGTGTGTGACGACGTGAGAACCTGCTGTCAAGAGCTGTCTGAAAGACTGGATAAAAAGGCTTACTTCTTTGGAGACAAGTAATCATCTATTATTTGTATAACCCTAGGGATCACTCACTCAATGTTCTCTTGAAATATAAATTTAGGGACCGTTCATAATTTATGGTTAGGGGGATGAAGATGGTTTTTATAGAGAATCATGTACAATGTGAATGATACCCCTTAACCTTATGTACAAAGTAAGTGACCCAGCTGCATGTCATGTACAAAATCAATAAGCTGTTTTTCCTGTAAATTTTCAAAGGCAAAGGGAGTTTCGAACATAACTTGTTCTGTGATGTGGGGATGATTGCCCCCCTTACCTCATGCATGTGTATAGTAAATATAAAACCCTTATAAAATGAGAAAAAATATGAGATCTCCCACACGCATTAGAACAATAAACAATAAAAGCATTGAAGACTAAGAAGATTTATTAGGATAAGGAGTGATGATCATAAACAAAAAATTAATTTATGATTTTATTTCCAGCTTGTTTTTCTCACTTTTTGATGATGTTTTTTCCAATTGTAATTTGCTTGTGTTTGTTTACAGACCAACAGAGCTGGACGCGCAAGTGTTCGGTCACCTGTTTACTATCCTGACCACAGCACTTCCTGTTAGAAGATTTGCTGAAGTTATCGAAGAATACAAGAATCTAACAGCATTCTGTCAGCGGATAGATGAAAGGGTCTTCAAGAAAGCAGGACACAAGTTTTGATGATACAGTCTTCCCCTGTCTACCTGCAGCCATTGGTCATTGTGTGAAACTAGATCCATGCCCCCTGGGCCCCCTGGACATTGGTGGGGACGTGACTGTGATGTTTGTGTAGGCATAGTATGTGAAGGATAGACGCTAGAGGTGTAATGATACGGTGAGGCCGCGATACGATACATATCCTGATAAAATGGGCACGATACTTTTTTATCCCTATAATGCGGGTGCAATACAATTGCATCCCAATAAGAAGGGTGCAATACGATTGTATCCCGATAATGTGGGTGCAATATGATTGTATCCCAATAATGTGGGTGCAATACAATTGTATCCGAATAATGTCGGTGCAATATGATTGTATCCCGAAAATGTGGGTGCAATATGATTGTATCCTGATATGGGTGCAATACAATTGTATCCCAATAACATGGTGCAGTACAATTGTATCCCAATAACATGGTGCAGTACAATTGTATCCCAATAACACAGTGCAATACAATTGTATCCCAATAACATGGTGCAGTACAATTGTATCCCAATAATATGGGTGCAGTACGATTGTATTCCTATTAAATAAGTGTGATACAATTCGCATTATGATACAGTACTTTTATTTCATGAGTTTATATTCTCCTCCTTTTTGCTGGTGAATCACATCCCTGTATGACTTGTTCTCACACTGTAGAGCCCCTCAGAGGCGGTGGGGTAGCCTGGTGGTTAAGGCGTTGGCTCGTCATGCTGAAGACCCAAGTTCGATTCCCCACATGGGTACAAAAAAAACTACAATGTGTGAAGCCAATTTCTGGTGTCCCCCGCCATGATATTGCTGGAATATTGCTAAAAGCAGGGTAAAACCCAACTATCTCACTCACTCAGATCACAGATATCGTATGGGAGACACAAATGGCATTGTCGATTCTGCTAGCTATAGCCAATCAACTCTTACCAGCATATACTGTCTTTGAACAGCTTCTGTTATTATCAACAAGTTTTACATGAGTATAACTTTTGTTTAACAAATCGTATGCAATAGAGGTGTTGTAAATCAATGTATTGTATCTTGGGCCTTGTATCGGGATACAATGATACCTTGCCGTATCATTACACCACTAATAGAGTCATATCTGAAGGTCTGGTGCACAGTGTGTTTTTCAGGGTTTTAGGCTTATGAACTGACAACAACATTCCCAATTTCAGAATAAATTGAGAATATTTGGGTTATTTGTACTCTAAACAACAGAACAATCAACCTGTGACTAGTCAAATGAACAGACAACAGGGAACAAGCAGCCAGTGTAGAGCACAATTTCCACCCTTATGTACTTATTGAAATGATTTCATATTATAAAACAAAAATATTATGTTGCATGGTTCCAAATGGGAAGCTCTAAAATTACCAAAACATATCTTCACACATGATTCCATCTATTCACACAGCCTTAGTTGCTAAAGTTGTAGAGAATCTACAGTCAGAACCAAAATACTGTGCACATAGGATGATCCACAGTGGGATCCAGCTTAACAATCAGAAATTCATAGAAAATAACACAATTACTGAATAACATTTCCTTATCAATGGATACATTTTGGAAAAGATGTCTGATGAGATATTACAAACAGAGTCTCAAGTTTCAGGTTTTGGTAATACAAGATCAGAGACCATATATCCGTATATTGTCTCTGATAAGATTAAGACTTTGCATGACAATATATCACGAGGAGACAACTCTTTGAGTACCGATGTAGGCTTATCTCCCTTTGTTTAAAAAATCCTGTTTATGGATATCAAATGGTCTATCCTTTAGTAAGTAAAATGCATTCCTTTCCCAATGTAATATGGCCAGATGGACATGGTTTGTAAATGTTGTGTGTTTGATATGTGTGTCAGTAGCTGAAAGGGGAATGGTTATATCTGAAAATAAACAATTTGCATTTTATTGTCATGTGATTATTTTTTCAGTAAAATTGTAAGTTTTGTCAAGACTCCTCTACCAGCTTAACCCTTTCATTATTTGATAAATATTTTAAAAAATCAACAATATTTAACTCTAATAAACACTATTTTGTTCGATTCAGAAATATTTCAGGACCATACTGTCAAAACAAAATGTGTACCAGTAAATATTTCATCAAAATGAATTTATTTATTTATCCCTTTTGTGAAGCAACAGGAACTCTCGTAAAGACATTATTTTAATCTGAATATATATAAAATAGAAAATATAACTGAAAGTGAAAAAAATCATTATGATTTTCTTCAGAAGCATGGCAAAGTAACAAGAATCTTCTGCAGTTCAGCAAAGGAGCCTAATTTAGACATGTTCGGAAGTCAAGAAAATAATGTTGAGTTTGATTCCCAAGAGGGCTGCATATGACAGTAATACATCCAATACATGCACACACATTGTTATTTTCCTTTCCAGTGAGCAAAAAGATGCATGTTTTCAGTGTCTGGACTTCTTTAGTGAGTGAGCGAGTTAGTTCAGTTATAAGCTGCTATCAGCAATATTCCAGATGTATGGCGGCGGTCTGTAAATAATCGAGTCTTGACCAGACAATCCAGTGATCAACCACATAAGCATCGATCTAAGCAAATGGGATATGATGACATGTGACAACCAAATCAGCGAGCCTGACCACCCGATCCGTTAGTCGCCTCTTACGACAAGCATGGGTTACTGAAGATCAATTCTAACATGGATCTTCATGGGTCAGACTTCTTTACAATCAATTATGCTTTTGCCTTGTAAGGTGTGTATCACCAACATTTTACAATACAGTTATTTAATCTTCCTGTGTATACTTCTGTAATGTGTGGATGTGTGTGTTGACACTTCAGGAATCCTGATGCTGAACATTATCAGTTGTCCACTTATTCACGAGGGGGACAGGGGCTGATGTACCCTCTATTGAAGGGTGAGGGGAACATAAACAAACATATCAGACAATTAGCCAATACTAGATTTTCAGATGACATAGAATCTAGCACATGACAAGAAAAACAAATTTAGAGTTATCTCCCTTTCATCATTTTGCATTCACAAAACATCAGTAATTTCTGTACATCATTCGTGATTCAATTATTCGAGATGAAGAATTACTAACACGAAGTACCAAATGAATTCCCACAGTTCAACATTCCCAGCAGGTAACATAGAAAATGTTACTCACTTGTAAGCAGGGTACATTGAAAATAATAGCAGGCGCTCAGAAAACGACACGTGTGTGAGTTAAGATATGTGAATATGTACCTGTACGATCCAAACAACCAATGCTAACAATAAAAGGAATTGGCAAGGGAATCTGGTGTGTTCTTTTCTAATCTTACTACTTACATACCAATTATCGAGATAATTGCAAAATAATTATTCCATGTCTCACAGATACTCGTATAACAATGCATCGATACTTTGCACAGCGGAAAGTTGTTCATAAATTTTCATCTTGATTCAACAGGAAAACTCTTTTAATATATGTCTTTATTTCCATCACCGAGAGAGACAATACTCCTATTTTGACACAAAAGCTAAGTGACAAGTACATTTTGAGTTAACATTAAGATCTACAACAAAATATAAATATAGATAACACAAAAAGACAACATCAGAGAACAACCAACAACCTGCAGAAAGAGACCCTACAAAATGCAAACCAGCAGCAGGAACCATATGAATGGACCACTGACTGCCAGTAATGGAAAAATTAGCTTAGAGGAAAGGCACAAATGAGTAAATAATGCCTACAGCAAAACACATATGCTGATAGAAAGAAATAAGGTAACAAGAATATCTGCAGCCATCATCACTGATAGAAATAAATAAGGGAACACCTGACTGCACAGGAATATCTGCAGCAATTAATATACTTGAATATACTGGTAGTAAGAATTAAGGGAACACCTGAGCGAACAGGAATATCTGCAACAGTTAATATACTTGAATATACTGGTAGCAAGGATTCAGGGAACACCTGAGCGAACAGGAATATCTGCAACAATTAATATACTTGAATATACTGGTAGCAAGGATTCAGGGAACACCTGAGTGAACAGGAATATCTGCAACAATTAATATACTTGAATATACTGGTAGCAAGGTTTTAGGGAACACCTGAGCGAACAGGAATATCTGCAACAATTAATATACTTGAATATACTGGTAGCAAGGATTAAGGGAACACCTGAGCGAAAAGGAATATCTGCAACAATTAATATACTTCAATATACTGGTAGTAAGAATTAAGGGAACACCTGATTTAACAGGAATATCTGCAACAATTAATATCTTGAAATATACTGGTAGCAAGGATTCAAGTAAGAATTAACAGGAACACCTGGAGCAGGGAACAGCGAACAGGAATATCTGCAACAATTAATATACTTGAACATACTGGTAGCAAGGATTAAGGGAACACCTGAGCGAAAAGGAATATCTGCAACAATTAATATACTTCAATATACTGGTAGCAAGGATTAAGGGAACACCTGAGCGAACAGGAATATCTGCAACAATTAATATACTTGAATATACTGGTAGCAAGGATTCAGGGAACACCTGAGCGAACAGGAATATCTGCAACAATTAATATACTTGAATATACTGGTAGTAAGAATTAAGGGAACACCTGAGCGAACAGGAATATCTGCAACAATTAATATACTTGAATATACTGGTAGCAAGGATTCAAGGAACACCTGAGCGAACAGGAATATCTGCAACAATTAATATACTTCAATATACTGGTAGCAAGGATTCAGGGAACACCTGAGCGAACAGGAATATCTGCAACAATTAATATACTTCAATATACTGGTAGTAAGAATTCAGGGAACACCTGAGCGAACAGGAATATCTGCAACAAACAATGTACTTGAATATACTGGTAGCAAGAATTAAGGGAACACCTGAGTGAAGAAGAAGATCTGCAGCAATTAAAATGACCCAATCTGCAATATAAAATAGTTTACCTGTTTATCTGAAACTCCTCATTCATTTTTTTAATCCCCTACTTGATTGCAGGCACAGTGCTCTGAAACTGATTTTATCATCCTGAAATCAGAATGACTTCAGTGGAAACATAAGCATACAGAACCATGACTACACTGATAGAAGGAAATGCTATCAAAGGCTCTGCTCTTTGTATCTTAATCTTATATCATTACTTTAAACTTGAAACAAAGACTGTTTCAATGGACAAAACAGAATTTTAAAGTAATCGTAGAATGTAAGCTACCATGGCTGTTAGGAACCCTAAAGCTGACTAAATTTGTTTTAGTTGAATTGTTTGTCATTACATTTTGTCATCGTATCCCAATTGCGTAGATCAATGCTCATGATGTTGATCACTGGATTGTCTGGTCCAGACTCGATTATTTACAGACAGCCGCCATATAGCTGGAATATTGCTGAGTCTGGCGTAAAACTAAACTCACTCACTCATTACATTTGATGGCTGAAAATGTCTGTTGTTTTACGCTGGACTCAACTATAATCTTTCAGCTATATGGCAGTAATCTGTAAACAATCAAGTTTGGACCACACAATTCAGTGATTGACATCATGAGCATCAATTATTGCAGTTGGGGTATGATGACATGCAACAGCCTGACCACCCAATCACACTCCACATATAGTACAGCAATCATGGGTGGCTGAGGACCAATTTTAACCCACATTTTCCTGGATGCATGAAGGTGGCTCTTGTACATAAGAGGATTTATTTATTTATTAATGTTCCATATCCTCAGTTTGACCTGACATTATTGTATCATTAAAAACACACAAGTTGGAAATATGTTGATGTATTATTGCACTTTGTTTACAGATAAGATCTAAAATTGAAGAATAATTTACACGAGACCTCTGTATGAATCAGCTACAAACATCATCAAAACATGACAATATTCTGATTAAATGTATATCACTGCTAGCCCAACCACAGCTACTATTACCACTGGTCAAACTGCTCAGTCTGTGAGGATGACCGTACATGATTACATAGCCCGATAGGCAGGAAACAGCAATTGTTTCGGGACCAGACCATAATTTGAGGTGTCCTTAATTCGTCCAATCCACCAGCCTTGTTTGTCATAATCTCGGCTGACGATGTGAATAATGTCGGCCACCTTGAAGGACAATTCGTCTTCAGAGTCGGCCTTATTTGCCCACTTCCCGTAATACATATTCTCAAAATCCTCGTCCGGGTTGACAACGATCCTGATCGGTAGGCGAGGCGGGGGCTGTTGTTTGTCAACAGGCTTGGTCTGGGAGACTGCTTGTTTGGGGACAGCGGGTATCTGGGGTATAGGTTGTTTTGGGACAGCGGGTATCTGGGGTATAGGTTGTTTGGGAATGGCTGGCGGAGGCATGGATGGAAGCTGTGGCGTTCTGGCATCATCGTACATCCCTGTTGTATCCTTGTCGAGTGCCTCATACCTCTCGCCGCCTGGGGTGACGGCCGCTGCTATGTCGTCGTATTGTTGGTTGTAGTAGTTGGAGAAGCCATCGCTGAAGATTTCATAGGTGTCTTCTGAAAGTAGGTGCAATTCTATTAGTGTCATGATACCAGAATACACAATGGACATGTGATATTGGTAGCATTTATCAAACAGATATCCTGTAAATACTGAAATATATAGAGAATACTACACGAGGTCTCATTACATACGAATTATACGAAACGAGTGTCCTTCCTATGGTATCTGACCGAACGAAAGCAATCGAAGGAGAAAATAAGGGAAGATGCATTAATATAAATCCTACATAATATACACGTAACATGTTCCTGAAAAGCTGTATCAGGGTCTAAATCCACATTTTCAGAGTGGCTTCTTTAAATCAGAGAACAAGTACCACGGTTCGAAAAAATATGATTACATCATCAGTTTAGGCCTGGGTATGGTGTCTTCAGTTACCTGCACTTTCATACATCCAGGAAGGACATGTAAAACGAGCAGCTTTTTACCATATTTATGCACAGTACTATTCAAAACCATCGTGGTAAAATAAGCCTCAGAGCGGGGTAAATTAAGTAGATCTGTTCAATTGAAAACATATTTGTTTAGGAGATAAATAGAAAAGAAGAAAGGTTATTATCATTTATCTATTGATTGCTTTTTTTCCATCCCTTCTAGTTCTTTTATTAAATTTCTAGTTAATCATCAGCTCTTTATGAAGGCAGATATTATTGAAATTAATCATATCAACATTCTTCACGGTTTTTCTCTGTTTCGGTTGGTTCACTCTCTAACTCAGTCTCTCAGTTGTACAGCACTTCTGACCTCCTCCCTCACTATACAGCCATTCCAATTTACTTCCTCCCAACTTTACATTCATTCTATGCTCCCTCCCCCATTTTACAGCTGTTCCCTTATTTATTTCCATCAGTATGCATCAGGAAGAAACATAGGTCATAAAAACTAACACAGCATAAGATAGAGTATTTCAATTCCTTTATCATGGTATATATTTCAACATGTACAAACTTTGTAAAGTTTTCACTTTATTTTTTTAAATTATTCTTACTACAGATTTAAAATTACCTAACTAGTTTTATAATCCTCTCAGCATGCATTATGACAAAAGTAACATACTTACCACCAAGAAGAGAACTACCGAGGAACAGAGGCCGAGAAGGCCTTTAAAATTACCAATACTTGTAGGCAGAAAGATTTGACAAGATTCTTACAACATATAATGTAGCTTACTGTAAACATGTCGAGCAAGCAGAGGGCATTGATGGATAATTTGAGAAAGTAGGATTTTCCTTCACACTCTTTTGAGTAATATACATGATAGAAATTCTATTCAAGGTATTAATACAGGAATATTTGTAGCATATTCTTCAAATATTCCACATGTCAGCAATAAAATACATCACAAGAACTTCTCCTGCGTTATCGATACCAGTAGATGTTACCAAAGATATTCTATAGGATAGAAAGATGACCCTTGATCTGCTATGTGAAAAAACAGATAATACTTACCGATTGTAATCATAATCAAATCATAACAAAAATTATATATACATACCAATGAAGTCACAGTTTCGAAGATTAGAAAACACATGTCTGAATTAAAAGCATAAGCATTAAAATGAAGCATTGGTACATGTATATATATGCTAATATACTGAAGGATGAGAGCATCCTTTGTTAGTATTTAGGTACATGTGAGTAGGCTTTGACAGTACAGGTGGATCCAAGTACATGTGGATCCAGTTAGAGATCCATGAGTATGTGACTTTCTATGTAGAAATCTTTACATAAATAATACTCTGGAGGTAAGGTGAGGTGGCAAAGGGTTAACACTGCACTCAAGATTAATAGCACCAACACTGCAATGTTCATTATCTGGATACACGACCAGTTTAATAACATAACTGCTAAAGACTGTCACTGTATTACTTGTGGGTTATGTCATATTGGGAGTATGTGTACACATGAAAATCTACCAGAATGCTCTTGTGAAACATTTCCATTTTGAAATATTTCTCACACTGATTGTTTCACATTTTGTGTTTCACATTTTGTGTTTCACATTTTGTGTTTCACATTTTGTGTTTCACATTCTGTGTTTATATAATCCAGGTTGCTCACCTCTGTAAACATCAGAATATGGACTGCTCTGGCTAGTCTACATACTAATGGAACTTACAGTACATAAACATCACTTCATTTTTCCACTGACCATAATCCAATATCATCTAAGCAAAGCCTTAAGCTGGGTTCTTGAATACAGCATCACTCTACTTTGTGTGCTACAGAAAACTAGGGTAGGCTACGGTATAGACTAACACTTAGTCTCGGAATATATATTTTGGCAGTAACAAACAAACCCATTTAAATTGAATAGGAGCCCCAGTGAGATTGAAGATTCCTGAACCTGAGGAAATCTAGACTTGCTTCATTTAGGGCTTTAGAATTACAGAGAGGGCCAGGCTGTAGGGAAAATGATGTGGTTCAGGGACTAGGTACGATAGGGCAAGAAGTGAGATGGGTCTGTTTGACTGACTGACTGACTGAGTTTGGTTTTACGCTGCTTTTAGCAATATTCCAGCAACATCACGGCGGGGAACACCAGAAATGGGCTTCACACATTGTACCCATGTGGGGATTCGAACCCGGGTCTTCGGCGTGACGAGCCAACGCTTTAACCACTAGGCTACCCCACCGCCCCATGGGTCTGTTTGAGGTAGTGGGTATGTTTGCATGTATTTGTGGGAAGAGGTGTATGTGAAGGGTGGGGTAACTTTAGAAACTGGGCAGTTTAGGAGTCCAGTGGTTAAAGAGTTGATTCACTTGACTGAAGACCCAGGTTCTATTCACCTCATGGGAACAATGAGTGAAGCATTCTTAGTGCGCCTTGTTGCTGGGATACTGACAAACATCAAAGATTTACAACATTAAACCAAAAATCTCAAACGTGACTGAAATTAATATATTTTTTGTACTGGACTTGGCTATAATGAACAATATCAATTTACTCAACATCGGAGTCCATGGTCTCTCTTTCATTTTTTCTCCTTACAACTATCCTACTCACAAAAAGTTAAGGACAACCTATTCTGAAATATTACTGGAGTTAATCTGCCAAAGCATGACAGATTAACTACTCTGGGCGCTGTTGTTCAAAACAACCTTAGCGCTAAGGCTACCTTAAGTCAGTGTTAAAGTATGGGAGTTACGGTCACCTTAGCGCTAAGATCGCTTTGTACAATGGCACCCTGATATTAAAGAATTTCATGTTCGCTAACTTCCTGTGACTAGTGCACTATAATCTAACGTAGCAATAATCATCAGCAGTCAGAACCTACCGTTTCTATATATATTATTCTGATTCAAGAATATTGAAACTGAACACTATTCTCTACAAAAATTGATTTCATCTGAACCTGGCTGTGAACTGTGTAACATATTTGTTGAACAACCTGCCCAAAGTTGTACTTGTATCTAACAGCGAGATGAGATAACCATGAAAGTTTTTTAAATACAACAAAAAATAACATGGTAAATAAAACAACACAACATTGTAATGATGACTGCATTTTATTGAAAAGCATGCAGACGTATGACATATTCCAGTAAACACAACATGTTTTAAGTAGTTCCTATATCACTTAATTCACAAGTCAACAAAGCCATTGAATAGCCATCTTGCTTCAGTGTTTCACGGTTTAGATTCCATCATGCACAACATTACAGAAGTAGTAAAATGCTTCTTCGGGACCAGATAACACACACATATACAATCTGGTATTCAATAATTACAGTAAAAGAACTGAACTAACCAATAAACGTACTACATCATTCCTGGTAATGTGATAAATATTCAAAGAATCACAGTAATTGTCCATTGCCCTGTGGCACATATACAATATGAACAGCTGTTTATTTTGCTCCATCATGTAGAACCAACATAGATCAAGATACTAATGAAGTCTGAACCCGCCAAACCCTTTATGGCATATTATATATGTATATATGGGATTGGAGAGTTTAGAGGGGATTCAAGGCTCAGCAATGTGAGGCATGGGAATAAAATATAATTGGAATTGGAACACTGATTCAATTGTGTGTAAAAAGTTCCTTTATATATATTATTATTTTACCTTATCCTGACTCATACTCATAGTAAGTCAGGATAAGTACTAGGGGTGTCATGATACACCAATCTCACGATACGATACGTATCACGATTTTAAGGTCACGATACGATACGTATCGCGATACATAATTTTCGTGCCTTTTCATAGCATTACCTTACAGGCAACGTACGCGCTGACGCGCTCGCTGATTGGTCCATCAAAATAGTCTAGCCAATCACAAAAGCTGTTAGTTTCCAACCTATTTTTTAAGTAAAGCTAGCTACATCTATTTATCGGAGCGGTCTCGTATCATTTTACTATCAACACTTTGAAGGAGATGGATATAGCATAAAAATTTGAATCGATAAAGTTTTAAAATAGGAATCGATACACGCAAGCATGTATCGCGTATCGTATTGTCAGTAAAAATGTATCGATGCATCGATACATTCACGTATCGCAACACCCCTAATAAGTACAATTAATATTTGTATCAAAAATTACATTTTTCAGTACCTTTTCTATATCTTTTCAATTTTAATTTCACAAATCACTCTCTATCACACTCTTCGTGACAAATGAACATGTTTGCAATCTGTGACTGACATTCTTTTATTTTAGAGTGAATTCATTCGTGTGTTTTGTGGATTTGTGTTAAGCAGTATTTGAGATTCATGGTTAGTAAATGAGGCTCAAATAGAAACTCAAATGGTATTCAGGATTCACCATATATTGGCACCCCATTTAACTAGCATGACTAGCTTTTTGTAATGCTGTACATCATAGAGTTGGAGAAGATTCCAAACATGTTTTTTTCAATGATTCGCAATCTTTGTAAACAAGATCACAGCACAAGCATAGAAAGCACTTTTTTCTCCACTCCTAGCACCAGGTCAATGCAATGACGCATATCAAAACTAAACAACTGCTTATCAAGTAATTGA